GTTGTAGATAATTATTTCCTCATATCTGTTTTAACTGAGCGGGCATATCTACCATGAAAACCTAGACATCGGGATGCTGCTTCAGGGTATTAGCTTCCTGGAGAAGCTGAGCCTTTAGTTTCCTCCCTGAACTATCCCTCCATCAGCAACATTCCTGCATTTAACACCTTCTGGCAAAACTGCTGAGTGTTTAGATCCTCCTTCAAACATTGCTTAAAGCCACAATCTACAACGTTATCAATAGGACCTTGAAGGTGCAACACTTCACTAAAGAAACACAAATATCCTGATGTATGTGTCATGATCATATTTTCTTCCTCACTTTAGGTTGGTTTATGCTTGACGCGTCCGTGAGGTTCGCACGGCTCCGTGCGACAAAATTGCGTCATTTTAACAACCACGCCCCTCCACCTGGTCTCCGCACGGCCCAAACTTTCCGCACCGCGCACCTAGGAAATTTTCTAACCACGCGGACGGCCGAACACGGAAAAACATGGCGGACTGGCAAGAACTAGTTATGGCAGACGTTCACAAATACAGACATTTGTATGATTCAGCTCTCAAAGATCGCCGTGATCAACATGTTGTTAATAATTCTTGGAGAGAAATAGCTCGCACTGTCAGAAAAGACGAGGTCGCTGTTAAAAAATGTTGTAAACAACAGTAATTTTTACTTCTACAATGGTGTAGTGTTGGATGCATGTTGTAGAGCTCCATGCTGCCCCCTACAGTTTGGTAGAATATTGGCTCACCCCAGAGACAAGCCACATGAACCATAAACGCTGCAAGTTGTGAAGCGCGTTCCATCCACGAGCCGCATCACCAAGCAGAAAGTAAATGCGTGAAGCATAAACCAAGCTTAACTGTCCTCTGTCTCATTCCTCCTCTTCTCAGTTGTCTGGTAAATCAACTCCCAACGCCTTGCTGGAAAATATAGCACTATCATCAAATATACAGATTCATGCTGGAGTCTACTTTCAAAACGATCCTGAGGGGAACTTTCTTCTCAGCTACACAAGTTTGATGATCAGACAGGGAGACTTCAGTTCACATGCCGGCAGAGATTAGTGGAGAGGCAGACTGGAATGGGAGCAGGAATGGCTGAAGCCAGAAAATGAACTGTGTCTAGGTGAACAGATCACTGAGGAGGCATGTGGAAACCATGGAGTTACGAAATTAAAAAAATCCACCATTTGGGATTGAGGTTATAGATGACAGCGTGATAACGACGCAGCTGTGTTGCACACCGTGGTTTAGGGCTGCTGGTGAAACATAACAAGAGCTGGAAATGATGCGATAAGCACACGGCTCTGTTTTAAAAGTTAGAAGGGCTGAGACCTATTAAAGCCTCCAACAGGGTGAATCTGGAGAGCTGCAGAGACTGGAATACAACCACTGCACCCCGAAGAGGGAAAAATGAAGAGATTTGAGCCTCTCCCGCAGGTCAGAGTGGGAACAACGTAACAGAGCTGGAGCAGAGTAAAGAAGAAGGTCTACGGGGTGCACATTCTCCCATCTGACCCCGACATTCCTGAAAGGGAAAGCACATCACTTCCATCTGCACCTCATCCTTCCACATTTTTTACATAGCCTACTAGCACAAGCAGACACAAAATGGCAAGTCCACCATCAAATGAGCGGTTGGATTTTGTTGGAGAGCATTCAGAGACTTGTTAAATAAGCATTAACATGGCCAAGATTGTTCGAATCTTATAAAATTCCAGAAATTTCAGCTCATCAAAAAAAAAAAGAAAAAAAAAGGGAAAACAATGCAGCTTGTAAGTTAAAACACAAAACAGGCCCCCCGACTCCTTTCATGGGGGGGGGGGGGGGGGGGGGGTGTCAGCCCTGCACCCCCTTTTGCTGCAGCATACTGACCCACTTATTTAGCATGTCCCAACCCCCATTGCTATTATTGTGTGAAACAAACTCATCATTCATTACTGACCGAGGTCCACAATTACCCCGTTTTTCAGGGCAGAGAGAGAAGAGGGGACACAGTGCCACTCAGAAATAGCAGCTCATTAGATTAGTGATGCTTTGCCACTACAATAAACGTGCATATGGAGCAATTTAGTGCTCCACTTTCCAGCATTCCTGTCTACATAGACGGCTCTGGTCCCAAAAAAAATGTCAAGGCCACAGAAAGAGCAAGAAAGCTCTCAGATTAGAGATGGAACGGCAAAAATAAAGATGTGCTCAGTTTTACTCCCCAGCATAAACAGAAACAAAGGTGATGAGAGTAAACCTGTTATGCTAAATGCATTTAGTCTAATAGTACACTACATTCTTTCTGTGGTAACAACTGAAAAGATGTGTCATTTCTAGGGATGTGAACCTTAGAGCAACTCATGATTTGATTTGATTCCGATTCTCTGGGTGTCGATTCGATTCAGAATCGATTTTCGATTTAAATCAATTCACAATCAATGTTAACAAAGAGTGTCAGTTCTAGGATTAACTACTTTGTTGTACAAGTTAGTTAAAGCTATGGGACATTTTTATTTTAATTTAAACTGGTCATGCTCAAAAATGCTAATTTACAAGGTAAACTAAAGTGATTCTGAAACTGTAAACAGAAGCAATCTTTTGACCAAAAGGAAACATTTATTTTTGCTTACCTTGTAAAATATAACAAATCTTTAGTTACCTAACAGTAGCTTTGAAAGTAATACGGTCAAATACTTTTCAAGTATGTGTGGAAACAAGTTTTACATCTGAGTCCTCAACCTGTTTAAAAAATGCCTCAGATTTCTTACAAAGGAAAATGTGTTCTCTCATTTATCAATAACTTAAAATAAATACATGAGTAATCCTGAGCCCTCACTTATCAATTTAGAAAATAAATATGAGAATATCTCAAATTAATGAGTATGGAAAAAAATTACATTCAAGTGCCCACTTATCAGTAGATTCAAAAATAAATCATCTCAATTTATGGGACCACAAAATTAAACGGAGTACTAACTCTCCTGACAAAGATTTAAAAAAAAAAAACAGACAAAAGTGCATCTCAAACCTGTAACATGCCAAACATTTGAGTTCTTGGGATCGATTCTGAACCTTTGTGGATCGATTCTGAATCTTTATAAATAAAAATCCCGATTCAGACTTGAATCGATTTTTTTCAGCACCTCTAGTCATTTCTAGTTTTATATAACCAAATGTAAAAAGTCAAAGCAGGAATGATGTAGCTAAGGTTTCTACCCGACAGTAACGAGGCCACAAGCATTGTTCAGATTAAATGCAGACTTGGAACAAAGCTTCTATTGAAACGTGAAGAAAAGGTTTCCATGAGTGACTTGTTTATACTTTAAAAGAGAAACACACAATGACTTTATCTTGCCAGGTGTTTACAAAGCATCCCGGGTAAACCCCCGATGACTTAGTCCCTTGAGAAGTGTTAACTTTGTTCAACAAAAGGAAATGTCTTCACAGACCTCTGTTGGAAAGCCCTGCTGTGGACCCCCACCAGGGCAGCAGGAAGCCCAAGAACAAGGACAACTTCCACTCTTTCAGACAAACAGGACACACAAGTTGCACCGCAACCTAAGGACAAAAGTGTGCTGTCGGTCTATGAGTCGTCTCATTGCAAAACGTTGCTGTTGCAATCTTCACCCACCTTTCTGCGTGTCATAACATAAACAGAGTGTAATTATTCAGTTATGATGTGCAGTTTAAAGATAAGGCTCATCTCCCACTCACTGTATTACAGATGGTAATAAAACTACTAGCTGACCTTGTGTGCAGATGAATTTGAGTTATTATCCAACATCGTTCTTCCTGTTAAATGTTTATTCAGAGGAGCAGATAAGACAATCTCTACATTTAACAGGCTTAAGGAATTCCTTATAAAAATGACAAACATTAGATCTAGCTACATTGTTTTAATGTTATTAGACTGCTCCGTTGATGCACTTCACCCCAGAAAGCCCACAACAGTGTATGATTACAGTCTTTAACCGACCTCTGTGCATGAACTACATCAGCTCAAAAATGCACTGACATCATTATTACACACTGAGATATTTTAAGCTTTTATCATTTGTATTTCTTTGAAATTGTGCAAATCTTTACTACAAAAAAACAGCAACTATATTTCACATTTAAAACCTATTCAGGTACAACTAGATTTTAGAAGTAAATAGAAGTCAGCTCTTTCTTCTAGAAGCATCACAAGGCTGCTGATGAGGCAGCTTACGTTTTCAGACACCAATATGAACTTACACAGAGAAATGTTCAAAAAAGGCCTATTTCAGTCAGGATAGAACGCATCCTCCTCATTTTACGACATATTTCTTAAGCCTGATTTACACTTCTCCATCAGCTCCACGAGGAAGAGACGCACACATTGACAAAAGTTTCGTTCTCAGATTTCTCTGTCACCTGGGGAGTGTTGCAAAGCAATTCCCTGCCAGGATAACGGAGGGCATAGCGCTTTTCTGTGCTACCATGCCACCATTGCACTCAAAATGGTCCACGACTGTGTATTTACTAATGTATTTATATATTTCAGAAACTTTATAACACTAATTTGTCCTTCATTCTCTTCCACCTCTTCACGCGGTTGCCACCTCTAATCCATGCTCTAAACTCATGTTTCCTATCATTTCTGTCCACAAATAAAACGTTTGCCCCGTATTATTGTACTACTTCAATCACAGGTGAGTAGACATTCATACTTCTGACTTTTTCTGTGAGACGTTCTCCAATCTGTTCCATGTCTGCTGCTAAATATCTTGTTACTTTGTAACAAGGCAGTGGCGGTGCTGTTGACAAATTTACAGGAAGCAGCATCCAGACTAATCACATGCTTGCGGTCTCCGTCACTTTCGACAGATGTTTAAAAGTTTGGGCATGTCTCTGTCACCCTCTGTGAGCCTGTCAGAGAGCCAGTGCGCTGACACATAATCGCCAACGCAGAAGTATAAATTAGGCTTCAGAGATGCAAGGACCGTGTAAGGAGAAAAGGAGGACAACCAGATGAAAAGGCGGATTACCTGTTTGGCATCCTCCAAAGATGTCTGCAGCCTGCTAATCTCCTTTTCATACTGCTCCTTCATCTTGTCCACCTCCTGGTCATGAGCAGCTACTTCCTCCTTCAAGGCTCCTTTCAGAGCTGCTAGCTCCCGCTCTCGCCTCCTCAGAACATCCTCTTGTTCCTCCTTAGCCAGGAGGACTTCCTGCATCTCCACCTTCAGTTGCATAATCTCCTATGGAAAATTCACTCATGTTGTTAACTTTTTCTTAGTTGAGGAACAAAATAAAACAAGCAAAAAAGGTTTGACAGAAACTTTAGTTGTTTATGTTTGTTTAACAGATCACCTTGCATGCTGATAGGCTAAACGGCACATTAAACAGGCACCACCTTCATTAGTAAAACCAAACCACACTTTATTTATGAAGCCTTTTCATACTCAAAGCACTGGATAAGATTAAAAACAACCACGAAACTGTCAACTTCTCACCATCCCCACAGATCAACATTCTTTTGTTACTAATTTAACTACATTGAACTGCTTCTGTAATAATTTAATCCCTTATTCTTGAGTAAACTAAAGAGCAGTGCGAAGCAGTTGGGGAAACACATCAAGTGCTGCAGAAGCCTGTTAATCAGTCAGTGTTTCCCCTAGGAATTTTTCCAGCTGTGGTGGTGGTGGGGGTGGGGGATATGACACGTCTCACCTTTATGTTAATATTGTTTTATTTGACGCACTCCACTTTGATCAGCACCAATCCAACAACTGCTGCATTTTAATAACTAGTATTAAAGGTGAATACACCAATATATGCACAAAAATAATTTTTGTAAATGAAATGTACTCAAAGTAAAAGTTACATTGTTGTCAGCGTATGCATGACCACACACACACACACACACACACACACACACACACACACACACACACACACACACACACACACACACAGAAAGCAGAGAGGACAACTGGATGAGTACAGATGAAATAAGCAACAAAGAAGAAGGAAACACCATCAGCATAGTATGTGTTAATTGTTGAACAGCTGCATGGTGACTCCACCTCTGTGATCAGTTAACACAATAAAACTATAACAAAAAGGCCTTGTGCTTATATGAAGTAAAAAAAAATAAGTTGGGGCATCTCTAACACGCAGCTGGAGGGTTTATGCATTAAAAAACATTGTTTTCTATAACAATGAACACTGAGGCTCACCGTAATTATGATATCTTTCTCTTCATCAGCAGCTGATCTCTTAGCGGAGTCCAGCTCATCATGCATCTCTGACAGCTGGTCCTGCAGGTCTCTGATCTCTGTCTGGTACTGCTCACGCTCCATCTTCACCTGGAAAAGCCTAGCAAAGCACAGACCGTGTCACAACCTAGTACAGATCTTCTTTGTACGAAACTAAGGCACATGTGCACCTACACCTTAATTCACACACACACACACACACACACATTAACAGGAACACCTGTGCTGGCACGGATTACGAGGCCTACAGAGAACTGAGGTTAACTTTAAAACCTAAAAGATGGAAAACCAATAACACTAAACCGGAGTTTACATGAAAACTCAAATAAGGGACCTTAATTTTTATAGTCATGTAAACTCAAATAAAGCATTTATTCCCATTAAAAGGTAGCCTAATGTATCTAAATCCATGTCAAACAGCAACGAAGTCTTTAGTTCATTTGTGAACAGGAATAATTGTTGTCATTTTCTCCCAGTTTCTAGCTAAAGCATGCAAAGCTCCCAAAACAAAACCAGCAAGCAATAATTACTATCACAACAGCAGATATTAGTTTGAAATGTTTGCAAACTGCTAAATGTAAGCAATAAACTGGTCAAAAACTATCCTTTTCCTAGGCAGAAAATATTTTCATGAGCCATTATTTACCCTTTCTGTTTCTAATTAATTTACCTAAGTAAATGAGGTCTACACAGGTAGACATTTACCCAGGAAAAGGGCGCTGGTAGGGGAGGAGCTGGCAATGCAAAAGAGTTCTGATTGGCCAGATACTCCCAACATTTTACCACCATATTTAAAAAACAGCAACCGTACCTCTACAGCTGTTAAAAATATAATCTGATTAAACAAAGAAAATGTACACAAGATGGGCCAATAATGGTTGTGCTTTAAAATGTCTACTGTGAGGAGTATTTGTAGTTTTGGACACTCAGCCTTCTGGCTTTGACAGTTATCCTGGCAGAATACTAAACACCTCACTCTCTCTACATTGCATTGGTGAATTATTACCCAGGTAAGAAGGTTCTCGGCTGCTTAGCGGAGATGCATCTCAACAGCGTGTTAATATGTAGACTGAAACAATAAAGGTGTCAGCAGAAGGCCCCCATGTACAGGAGACGTGATATACTGAGCAAGTGTTAAATGTCACATTCCTCAGAGAATGCACCTCAAAATTTAGTTGGGATCAAGAGTGCAGCAGAAAACACACACACACATGCACACACACTCACACACTACCAGTTGTTGTTGCTGAAGCAGACAACAAATATTTTGTTTCAGACTCACCCTCAGGCAAAGTAAAACATTTGCGCTCACGAACTGTTAAGACAGAAAGGTAACCTATTTGGTTAATCATTATTGACTTGTCCAGCAGCACGACTCTTCACTTACTCCTCTACTGAAGTCTGGAGGTCAGACTCTGTCTTTGCTAGCTTCTCCTTCAAATGTTTGCACTCATCCAGGCTCTTTTGTAGCTCCTGCTGCAGCTCCTTGAGTCCTGCTACTGTTCTTTTGTCGGCCTGATGTTTCTGATGGTTAAAAAAATAAGTATATTTACTTCGGTAAACAGTTGTTATTATTACACAACTCGATTGCTGAGCGTTTCTGATTACAAACATCTACATAAGTCCCATTATTTTTACTATATTGTTATATATTCTAGTTGTTGTCAGTAAAAGTTAATGTGATGTGGTAATTCTAAAGCCAATCACTGGTCTGAAATATCTCTTTATATAGTAATCATTTCAAACTCTTTTTAAGCAAAAGGAGGATTAAAGAAATTTGTTGAACAAGTTCAGCAATAAACAGAAACGCCTACATAAACAGATTGGCATCAGAGGTACACCTGCAGTTTTAATGCTGTTACCTTTATTTGTTCCTCCAGCTGTCTCTTCAGGTCGACGATCTCTTTTTCCAGTTCAGCATTTTGCTCCTGTAGAGCTTTGGTCTGTGCTGCGAAGTCCAAAGACTGAGAGAAAATATAAAACATCTAGTGTTTAGAAATGTTTTTTTTTTGTTAAAAAGCACATAATGTCTGTGATGATTAGCAACCAGTCAATCGATTTAAGTGCAAATGAGTTCACATTTTCAGTGTTTAAAATGTTTAAGTTGTAAAAGTTCCCCGAACACTGCAGTAAGATCACAATTATCAGTTTTCCATCTGCTCTCTTAGAGTGAACTTGAGCCAGCTGAGCTGCACAGCTGGAAGCCTATCTCAATTATCTAAGAGAGAGCAGCTGAAGTTAAAGATTTTCTTCAGACACTTAGCTGGCATAAAACAGGATAAAACACTGTAACTGTTCCATTATGTAAAAAAACAGAGACAGTAGCTCACTTTGGTATCGCCTTGTGCACTCGCTGTGGCGCGAGACTTCAGCGTCTGTATCTTCTCAAAGACCAAGTTGACCTTTCTCTTTGTCATTTCGTCATTGTCATGGCTTCTGGAGACGCAAAATGTTAAAACTCTGGTTAAAAAATGTTCTGGGAGAAGTGAACTTCCGCATTTTGTAGAATCGAGTATAAAATCCAGACTGTTCCAAGAACAAAGTAGTTCAATCCCAGATTAGAGGGGTCAATAACAAACGACCATATTTCTTTGATGTGTCACCTCAGAGCACAGCAGCTTCTTCACATCTAAAGAACAAAGACATATGAACACTAAATGTGTGGGCAGTAGCTCAACTTCATCTGGGAAGTGACCAGAAACAAAATTCAGCAAACTAGAAGTTTTATGTTAATTTTGTGTTGTTGACAAACTAAAAACTATGTTCATTTTTTATAAAAATCTAAACTTACTTTTCAGAATTTTATTATTTAGGTCTTTGCAGACTAACAAATCAAGTCCTGCTAAAAATATATAAAATGACTTTATAGCAACATCAGGAAAATAACTCTTAGTTTGTTAAGATGTCAAAAACTAAAAGTGGGAGGACCTTTTTTTTGACGCAGGAACATTTGGTCTTAAAGTCAACACTTGATTGAACAACTCCAGAGTTACACCGTTTTTACATGACACAGACCATAAATCACCTCGATAAATTTTAAGGCAGACACAGAAAGCTAAACTCCCCCAACGTCCCCTCTGCGCTCCTCAAATAGATGATTTTCATTAAAGCTTAAAAAAAACTGTTGGTGAATGTTTGTTTTCTGAGCTTTGGGAATGTAGCTCAGTTTCAGCCCCTGCACTTCCATCTGTGTTTCCTTTCCTTTGTCCCTGACTCCTGACCTGTGGGCCGACACGCCCAAACAGTTTCCTGATCTTTCTGCAGCAGATGCAAGAACTGTGGTAGCCTCCAGACGCTTTCTAAAAATCATGAACAAATAAAACTTTAATAAAGAACAGTCCGCGGACAAAAAGAACACCTTCCTGCAAAGTGATGACACCCTATTAAATTATTCCTTAAAAGTCTATCATTTTTTGTCAGTTTGTGTAGCAAAGGAGATATTGTAGTTGTAGCAAAGATATTCTTGTTTATTTGCTCAGATACTGATAAAACAAAAGGGATGAAGCGGTTATAGTTCAACGAGACGCTCTCTGGGATTCCTCTGGAAACCGATGATATGCCAAACTTCTGGAAGTGTCTCAATTTCATTGTGACTGCACACAGTTGAAATGTGTCTTTTACTTGGAAGTATTTATAAGCTGATATTAAATAAGCTTTAAATGTAGGTAAAAGTGATAAATATTGAAGCTGAGACATTCAGTGGCCTTCAAATTAATGGAAAGAGGTGCAACAGATTTAACTATTTAAAAAGAAAAAGTATTTAAATGTTCAGGATAATAAGTTACAGTAATAAAAGACAGAGCAGTATGCCAGGTATTCCCATTTAGCTGCTCTGAAACCTAAACTGAAGTTGTAAGCGAGTCATCTCTCTCTCTTTGACAGGCTGTTAGTGTCTTATCACAGGAACAATGTAAACATTTTCCATTCCTTTCACTCCAATGCACAATAAAAGATTTGGAGAGGAAATTTTTGCAAGACAAGTCCATGACAAGTGAAAAAAATCTGCCTGAATGGGAGGGTAGGAAGCACATTCCTTCAGTTTAATCAAAAACAGTCCTGTGCAGATAAAAAAATAAAGAATTCAACACGTGCTTCCATGGATCAGTCTCTTTCTTCTTTACATGCTGGGCTTCTTGTGAGCATCTATCAAAATTTTCTAAGCATAAACCTTTAAAGTAAAATGAAAAAAAAAACACAACATTTTGAAAACTCACCCATCTTTGAGGTAATTGAAGAGAATTTGTTTGGCCGTCTCTTCGTGTGTTTGTTGTGAAAGCTCCTGCTGACCTCTCAGGAGATCAGGTGTCACCTAGATAGGACAGGAAATGACAAGGAGAGTCTAATGAAACAAATGAATTCAGACAGGAGGGGAAAGGTTACTTAGCTAATGCCTTTGTTTATTAGAAATTAAGTTAAAACATATGGCTGATCATATTACAATCATATTAACAGAGCATTAGTCTGGTCTTTTACCTGGACGTCTGCCTCTGTGCTGGGCTTTTTGTCTGCAGTGGAAGAGGGCTTGGACAGTGATGTTGACTGTAGTGTTGCTGTAACCTTTCCAACTGGGGAAGAATTTTCATGACTTTCATTATTCCTAAAAGGTAGTGATGAGGCACGTGACTGAGACTTTCTGTAACCCTGTATGGAGCCTACACCCTTAGAGATGGTGTTCTGGGGGGACCCTGGTGCACTGGTGGCACGAAATGAAGCCCCATCCACAACAGTGGACCAGGAGTCCTGACTACTGGCTGTTTTCTGTGCACGCAGCTGTGACGGCAGTATGACGTGCTCCATTGACGTGCCTTTGAAGCAGCTAAACTCATCCATGAAGCTTTCACCATTTCTCAAGCCAAGAGCACTATCCACACTGCGTGAGCGTATCCGGTCCTCCGGATTAATCCTGTTTCTCCGTCCAGCCCTGCCCCTTCGTGGACCACTAACAGTTTTACCATCAAACTTTTCAATCAGCTCATCGACACCGAGACAGGAGCCTGTGTCGATGTCTCTGCCAGAACCAGGGAGGAAGGGGATGTAGCGACGATTCTCATGTCGGTTTATGGTGTCCGCGTACAGAGCCTCCATTTGTTCATCTGCTGAAGTCTTGTTTGAGGAAGATAAAGAGGCATGGCGGGAGCGGGAGGAAGACTGAAGAACTGGTTCACTAGAGTCAGCTCGGCGGATGGGAAGGACATCGGGATCACGATGGTTGCGCTCCAGGCTGGAGCTGGTACTGCTCACTGAAGCGGGGGTCTTGCTCTTCTCATTTGAAAGACTTGACATAGTGGAAGTTTGAGGCTGAACTGCAGGCACCGGTTCAGTTTTAGAGGTCGGTTTAGGCTGATGTGGACTCAGACTGGTGAGATAAGGTTTAAACTGTGGCTGAGCCTGATGTGATTGAGGTTTAGCCTGAGGCTGGGCCAACTGGGACTGAGGCAACAACTGAGACTGTGATTTGGGTTTAGGCGTCTCAGTGTCAGCAGTCTTCCGGCTTAGAGGCGAAGGCTGCCTTCTCTCTTGCTGCCCAGGAACTTTGTTCCGATCCAGACTCGATGACCTGCCACGGGCAGGGGCATGTACAGCAGACTTAGAGGAAGAATTCTGATATTTATTTCCAGTCTCGGCCTGAGGTTGAGGTCTGGAAGGGAGACTGTGGAAACTCTCTAGGTTTAGGGCATTACTCTCTGGATCATATGGCTTAAGGATCTCGGGGTGCTTCTGAAAGTTCAAAAGCGTGGACGGTTTCTTCCCTTGTGATTCGGAAATGCCATTCTGAGGACCAGGATAATGCGTCATCTTCTGTGTCCGATACTCCATAAAAGGGTCGTTGGACCCAGCGTCTTTGTCTCCTCTGAAATCATACTCTTGGTAGTTCTCAATAAAAGAACCATCTGTGTCAGTGTACCCATTGCTGTCAGGGTCAGCATAGGACTTAGAACCCCTGTCCTGGTTGTTGAGAACAACATATGGGTGACCATCTATACCCTGGACTCGAATGCTGAGACCATATGTACCCGCTCCATTACTCTGGGGCCTGGAAGATCGAGATGACTGAGAGTAGACCCGCTGTGATCCACTGTTGGGAATGCCAGTCACTCTGTAGGATTCCATCAGGAATGTGGAAGGAAAATAAATCCCTCTCCCTGGATCAGGTGGCACACCTATCCAAGCAAACATTTAGACCAGCCGGATTAGTCAAAAAAGAAACACAACATAATTGAATAACAGCAAAGCTTCCTTACTCAGCCAAACATGCATTTAATTATGCCTTCTACTTTCATTTTCCTTCATGGCTTCCACTCTTAATATTCATTTTATCTCTAGGAATTTTCTGTGAAACAGCTCTGTTAATTGGCTCTGAAAAAGTGAATCACACAAAAACAAACCACATTTGCTGCCTGTAACATCTCAAAAACCATAATATCCATCTCTTAAGATCTAAGTGAACACACGGCATATTCTCATTAAGAGCAGAAATTAGCAGGTACGCTAGGAAAGTCCTTACAGGTCAATGACTAACAAGTATGTCATAGCAAAATTACTATTTGTGACACATAACAAATACAGGGTCAATGAAAGTACATAAGAGAGTCAGATAGAGGTATGTTATGAAACAAGTTTAAAACAGCTAAAGAAAACCTAGAAAGCCACGTAGGAGATAACCGGTCTTACTACAGTGGTTAGCTCTGGCTGCTCTCTTCAGGCTATGAGTGTTATCATTAAAAGAAACATTGTATACTTTTTAACTAAACTCAATAAGTATATTCAGCTCTAACTCTTTCCATAGTTCACTTTGTGGATTCTTCCCTGATGCAAACACTAGACTAATTAATTTTCTAACCCTAGTTAAATTTACAATAGGTGGATGTGCAGATTTAAAGCAAAATATGAAATTATATACGGTCCATTCGACACCATTAACTTGATTTATGATTTTATAGCAATGTGGTGTAGAACCCAAACAGTTTTTTTAATGGTACAAATTAGGGCTGGGTGATATGGCCTAAAATTAAAATCACGATATACCGTAAATCCTCTAATACAGGCCCGGGCCTGTATTTGACTCAAGCTCATCAAGCTCCAGGCCTTTATTGGAAAGAGGGCCAGTATTAGAGGCAGGCCTCTATTTCTATTTGAGCAAAATGAACTAATGGTTCGCTGGAGTTTTTGACAATTAATATTGCGCCCACATTTTCAAAGTTTAACACGTTTCTTTTAACAACGGTAGTTTCTGCTTCAGCCATCTCCCCCCTCCCCCTGCGCAGCGGCCGCAAACTCACTGATGCGCCTGAAGCCTCTCGGAGTTCCTGCTAAACATTAAAATAATTATTTCATTTTCTGTTCCTCACTTCTGATTACCTTCAATGGTGTCTGTTTGTTGCAACCACCAGGTACAAAAACTAACTTGTTTTTATTTGACTATTTTTCTGTCCTGTCTGTTTATTATCTTCCTGCATCTCCTCTCAATCCTAAAGAAAAACTGCTACCTGGGTTCATATATATTCACCTTATGAGTTACCTTTGAAATGCAGTTCTAAAAGATCTACCGACCACAAAAACAGCGGAGTGCTCGCTGCTTGCCGGCCGCATCAGTGATCGGTGCGTCACTGGATGACAAGGTGATGCGCCCCGCTCCACAGCGAAACGCATCAGGCGCAAATAAAAGACAGAAAACATCAAAGGAAATGAACCGACATGAACGATCGCGTGTTAAATAATTTGGCAACACCTGATTGTTACTGTGGCCGTGCTCAGGAGGCAGATTACCGACCACAAAAACAGCGGAGTGCTCGCTGCTTGCCGGCCGCATCAGTGATCGGTGCATCACCGGATGACAAGTTGATGCGCCCCGCTCCACAGCGAAACGCATCAGGCGCAAATAAAAGACAGAAAACATCAAAGGAAATGAACCGACATGATCGATCGCGTGTTAAATAATTTGGCAACACCTGACTGTTACTGTGGCCGTGCTCAGGAGGCAGATTACCGACCGCAAAAACAGCGGAGCGCTCCCTGCTTGGCGGCCGCATCAGTGATCAGTGCGTCGGAGGACAAGGAGATGTGACCCGCTCCACAGCAGCGAAACACATCAGGCGCAAATAAAAGACAGAAAACATTAAAGGAAATGAACCGACATGAACGATTGCGTGTCAGAGCGCATTGCCCCCCCGAGCGCAGGAGCTTGTCACCTGCTGACAGAAGGCTGCTGTCTTTTCCGAGGGCTGCATCTTGCCGGTCATTATCACATGACAGCGACTAGTCGACGACAGGCATAAAAAGTCACTATAGTGAAGTCGACTAGTTCATACAACCCCTATTGCTCCCCAGTATTCTTTAGCGCACGTTCTCTTTGAACTTGATATCAAATTTTCGCCTCCTCTTCGTCTCCGCATGGTTAAAGTTACCCTCGCGGTCTATCACTGGCAAATCAAAAGTGAGACAATGACACAGCCACCCCCGTACTTGCTTGTTACCACATTCCACCCGGCCGCAATAAGAGACCGGCCATTATTCACCTCCGCCGACTCAGACACCGGCCAAAATTGGAGACCCGGCCTTTAATTGAATACCGGCCTGTATTAGAGGATTTACGGTATTGAGGATTTCACCTCGATAACGATAAATAGACGATAACTACAGGTATGCACAGAAACAAAAGTTGTCCACTAGATGGAGCTGTCACATGTATTAGTTGAGTCACATTTTTACATGACTCAAGGTGGTACAGCTTCTTAAAAGGGACATGAACGTTTCTAACCTACACACATCTTTTAATTTTTTTATTATCAAATTTATTGACATAGGAAAAATTATCACGATAAGAGTCAGAAATTTCGATAACGATAATTTTTTTATTTATTGCCCAGCCCTAGTACAAATTATTGAACATAATTGTATTTGGTTTTAAAACTATTAATTACTTTGACAAATGTCAAAATTATTGTGTAAATTGGCTCAAAAACTACATCTGGGTAAAACTGATCATTTTAATTAATGCTGAAAAGGATCTACTATTTATAAGATTAAATGCAGAGATTTTACATTAAAATGTTGATTAAAATGCCAACATTATGACTAATGTCTAAATATAGTAGATTGTTTATTATATTAAAATATAGATTTTTATAAATATTTTTTAATAAATTACATTTATTTACCTTTATTAAAATCCATTTAAGTTAAGGTGTTGAACAATCATTTAATCAATACATTTGCAGTGATCTCTAGTAGGAACGACTGCCTTGTAAGTCGTACTCTGAGGAAAAACACCTGTGCACCAGTTTCGGGAACCAGAAGTGAGCCACATCACAGCTGAGCTACAGATGACAGGATTTAGAGTCTTATTTCCTGATATGAGGACTTCTCACCTTGAATTGGATAACAGCAATGTGACTCGACCACTGATTGTTTGCTCTGTAACATTTATGTATTAGCTCCACAAACGCCGCAAGCCTGGAGGAGTTTTGCTGTGTGGTGGAGTTGCTAATGCTAAGTTAGCTTCTACTAGTCAAGACATTCTCTGCTGTTTCCTGGATGCTAAAACAACAACAGCCTTCCCCAATATGAGTCAAGATGGGTGAGTCCATGAATGTTAAGTGACATTATGAAGTAGATCTGTCAGACTTTGAAATCCTAGTTTCACCATCTATTTTCTAGGTGTGGAAGACTATTTTCATTTGCAGCGTGCATGAAAAACTCAGAGTGACTGATTATAATCAGAAATAAGAATTTTAAAAATGGTTTTTCAGTGTTCACACCTTTAAAGTGCGAGTCAAGTCATGGGTGGAGATTTATTTCATCCACACTCCCTGTTAGATAAACGCTTCTGAAAGAGGTGTGGGGCCAAGAGAGTGGCACAGAGGCAGTGATAGACGGCAACACCCCCCCGGTCCAGGAAGCCATTGAAGACATAGCCATTAGCAGCCACCATGTGTTTCACCACACAATGGAACCTCAACAGAGGTCCTGTTTGCCTTGCTGACAGTGTCCCACTCTACCTGGTGATACAATGCAAGGATGGAACAAGATGGGCCCACAGGAAGGACGCTGATAAGACCAACAACAAAAGCAAGCAGGATAAATCACATCAGCATGAGATAAGTCATGACAAACCCACTGATAAGTGATGGACTGCTTGGAAGAAATACAGCCTCATGTAGAGTAGAGACGGATCTTTGTAACAACATGTTCTCATAAAGGTACTTATTGCCTTTACTTGCATTGCCAGAACAGAGAACTTGATAATACAATGTCATTGAATATTTTGTTTTAGCAATTTTTAGACATGATAAGAAACTTACTTTTTTCGAGTCTTCACTATTAACGAAAAGTTATTTTGTCTGACAGAATAGTTCAGTAAGTTTTTGCAGGAAAGATGTTAAGCAGGAAAGATACAACATACTCTCGCTTTGTGATAAATTACTTTATAAATGGCAGCCCGAACAGCAGGCCACACCTATTTAAAATCAGGCTGTTTCTCATTTCAGGGTATTTTAGTTCCTAAAACTTAAAATTTGGGGTTTTTTGGCAGCCACAAATCTGCAATCAAAACCCATTTTTTGCAAATGCCTGCATAACATCCGCATTATTCATAAGCCAGGGAGTGTCAGTTAGTCAGATTATGTCAGTTTTCACAATTATGTTGGAATGGAAATGTATATACTCATGGGTAATGTTGTTAGGATGGCTGCTGTCAAGGGAAGATTGAGGTCAACACAAATACTCCCATTCATGTTTAGTGTTACAAGTGTTTGATACACAAAGACTCCAAACATGCAACATTTCATTGCACTTATTATGTTGTCTTTCTCTACTAAAGAACACCGGTGATGTGCTTTTCCCAGTGATGCTGCCTTCACTGACCCTCAGACCTGCAAGGCAGTGCTGCTCCCAGGTTAGCATGTCAAGGCCTAACTTTAAAGTACCCTGAGGCGAGGCTCTGCAAAGGCTCAACAGTGCAGGTTTGTATTTACAGTAGAGTGGTCTCATGTGTCACGAGTGTGGTAACAGCTGTAAAAACTCATGAATGGGTACAACACTTGCAGCTGGCCAAAAAAACACAAGATCATCAGAAAAAAGAAACAGCACACCAAACTTGACATGCAACATGTAACTAAATTACAACAGCCAAAGCACATCATGAATGATTTATGATATATTTTAAAATGCTAAATTAGGAGTTCTGTTCATTTTAATCTGTGAAAAGTTCTTGCTTAGTTGCTTCGCTGTGTTTGTACCTTAAGGCCACCGTAGATAAAATCAATATAGAACAATGGCAAAGGTGTATAAGGTGAACTGACTCGGTTCAGTTCAGTTAAGATTTACACCAGTGTGGGAAAATATGATGAAGTTACATAACCTGAATGTGAGCTTCAGGTAGTGTGTGTGCTGGAACAACTGTAAACACGCGTAAAATCACGCTCACGCGGTTTTAAAACAGGTGTGAAGCTTTACAGTAGCTTTTCGGCTAATACAGTAGCTTTTAGTTAATATTGAAGCTTGTTTGCTAACACTGTAGCTTGTTAGCTCATTTCAAGAAACAACGGTTAACTCACGCAGTTTGAAGCCCTCTTGATGCTCAGTCCAACAGGTGGAAAAGCACCACCAGCCTGAGATTAACAGGCTGAAGTTTTGATTTAACACGTTCCTGCCTCACTTCAAGAATGTCTCAATAAAAACAATTATTTTACAGCAGGTTAATCTATGCTAAAAGTTCCTGTTTGTCCATCTTATCGTTGTCAACAAAACCTCACGCGCCAAGTGTCATGTCAAGTGTTTTTTACTCACCAAGGTCTTGTGTCTTTTGTTATCTTCTACGTAGTCTAAATAAGTCTATTTAAGCTGTTTTCGTTTAGTTTTATGAGATAACTTTATCCGCCACGAACTTTGCTAACTTCTTTGCTCCGGTGAGGTCTCCTCCAGAGTGTGAGGGAGAGCCGAGTTCCAGAAGGACGTCCGACCTTCTGGCCGCCCCGCCTCCCGAAACAAGCGCACGAGCCCGCCCACCCGCTGGAAAACAGCCGCCGGCTGGTCCAGGAACAGATTTTCACATCCCAGAGTTCTGCCGACTTTTACGGACGTGGTTGACTCCCTTTTGACCGGTTCTAGTCGGCTCAGTTTATTGCGGATTTTCACACGCCCTGAAACTACCAGGGTGAATAAACCCAATAATTAATGACTCTTAAAAAGACTTGTGAACTTATTTTAAATAACAAAAAGGCCAGCATTGATAACATTTTCTTTTCTTTTTAGATTAATCCTACTTGAATTAGCCCAAGCAAATGTGTAAAAATAGTTATTTTAGAAATACTGTGGGATTACAAATGAGAAAACGTATTCTAAAAGTTCTGCATTTTTCTCACACATTATTGACTTTATTTCATATTTGACTGTTTTTGATCATTAAATACACCGCTAACTCCTCAAAACTAATTATTACATTAATTATGTACACTTTGCATAAATGCCCTTTAAAACACGCGTCTTTAAAAAGCCAGAGCGTCATCTAGTGGTTGGTGAGCTGACCTCTGGTGAATTAGGGAGATTTTTTTTAAATGTTGCAACGTGTCCCTGTGTGTGTGACTCCACCGCATCTTTATACATCACATCCTGATTCCAGCCCAACAAATGGAAACATTTTGGTCTGGTTCTGTTTTTAAGTCAACTTTGAGGAGATGTGGGTTTCAAACATCTGGATTATGTACAACGGCTGTGAAGAAAGATGAAACAGGCTCCCTTTTTAATATTAAACACAATGTAAACAACATGGCTCGTCTTTTAAGTTCGATTTTAAAATTATTTTAGAACTCGTCCCCATGCAAACATTATTTCTGAATACATGAAAATCAGCATAAAATTAATCAATTAATTTGATTATTTTACACAATGCTAAAGCAAGCCTGGAGGCTGAAATGCACCCTTTAGATTTTAGTTATATCACTATACCTCAGCAGTAGCTCGGGAGGTAGAGCAGGTTGTCTCATGATTGGAGGGGTCATGGGTCCGATTCCAGCTCCCGCCAGGGGTATTCTGCTGTTGTGTCCTTGGGCAAGACACTTCACCAACTTGCCTGTGTTGGTGGTGGTCAGAGGGGCCGATGGCACCAAATGGCAGCCTCGCCTCTGTCAGACCGCCCGAGGGCGGCTGTGGCCACAAAGTAGCTTACCATCACTAGCAGTGTGTGAATGTGAGAGTGCATGCAAGCGTCTTTGAGTGTACTAAACAAGCACTATATAAGTTTCATTTATTATTATTATTATTATTACTATTATTATCGTCTTTTAGGCCATGATACAAGATGAGAAATATATATTATAAATATTTTCCAGATTTATATGTTTGATTAGGATTCCTGAACGTTTGTTACACATTTTCCATTTTAATTTTTGCTTAAATGTGACACAATGGTTAATTTTCATAAGAGAATACAAATAATTGTATTGGTAGTTATTAATATACTTGTAACCATTTCCATTTTCTTTCGCTTATCCAGAGTCGGGTCGCGTGGGCAGCAGCCAAAGCCGAAAGGCCCAGACTTCCCTCTCCCCAGCCACTTTGGCCAGGTCCTCCGGGGGAATCCCAAGGCATTCCCTGGACACAGTCCCTTCAGCATGTCCTGAGTCTTCCTTTAGGTGTACTCCTGGTTGGACATGCCCAAAAATCTTCACCAGGGCAGCGTCCAGGAGGCATCCTAACTAGATGCCCGAGCCACCTCCACTAGCTCCTCTCTAGGTGGAGGAGCAACGGGTTTACTCCAAGCCCCTCCCAGATCACCGAGCTTCTCCCCCTATCTTGGGAGAGCCCAGACATCCTGCGGAGAAAACTAATTTTGGCACTTCACTACCCAAAGCTCGTGACCAAAGGCGGTGGTTGGAACTTCGCCTTCCAGCTCAGCTCTCTTTTCACCTTGACAGACCGGTACAACACCCGCAAATCACTGCAGATGCAGTAGCTCCAACTACAGGGGGGATATACTTGAATATAAAAGCTATTTTTAGTAACATTTAAAATATTGATATTTATGTGCAGCTTATGCAGATTATGAGATAATATGAAGGTGGTGGAAAAAATTTTGGTGCAAATCAATGATAAACGGTGGGTCTGGTTTAATTTGCTAAATAGGGTTGTGTTAAAGTCTGAGCAAAATAAATAAAACAATTAGTTGGATGTGATAAAACATGCTGCTGATGATCAACAGGCTGCAAAAATTTGAATCTATGAGGTAAGACTTAATTGTTATTAATTACTTAAAGAGAAAAATTAAAGTGAAACCTGCATGCTCCTTTCATTTCATTTTCTCAACAACAATTTAGCTCTGATAACTTTATTTGATCATTTAAATGTCTAAATCAGTTTTCTTATCAGAGTTCAGGTTGAGTAATTACAGAAAACTATATAAATAAACTAAACATTAACAAGAAAATACTGGTAAGCACATGTGCTAAATAATGATTTTGTGAAGATGGCCATTGCTGGATGGAAACAAACCAGCATCCCAAAGTCTGTTCTGGTGGAACACACCCAAAACTACTCCAAACAGATGTGTTCTTACTGGAAATGTTTATTTCTGCTATTGCTGACGGGTGTAAAGTCAGAAAAACAAAGATGTGAATACTTTTACTGCTTGCATGCAGACATGGAAGAGTGGATCTTTTTTTTCCCCACAAAGAAATCAGTGATGTTGCTTATTTGTACAAAAAGGGCCAAAGTCTCTTCTACCTGCTGTGGAGGCTTAATTCCTATCTGCTAAAATCCTTTTATCACTTTGTTGTTGGTTCTGTTATTCATTCTGCTGTGGTCTGTTGGAGTGCAGGCAGCTCTGACCAAGACAAGAAGAGACTGAACAAGCTAGTTGAAAAAGCTAGCTCGGTTTGGGGCTGCCCACTGGATTCTGTTGAGGATATGTTTGAATGAAAGGAGGATGTTGGCAAAGCTGTCCCCCATCTTGAAAAATCCCTCCCAACCACTGCATTCTATTGTGGAGGTCATGGGCAGCTCTTTTAGTGGCAGATTGAGATATCCAAGATGTAAAACAGCTATCGTAGGTCATTCATCCCCACTGCAGTACAAGTGTATAACTCCTCAGTTTAAAGAGATACTTTGCAACTTTTTCATATTTTAAATAATTTTCTTGAGCCAGTATGTGGTAAAATGAACCTTTACAGGGTTAATGAAAGATCACCCAGCCTCTTTCGCCCCCTGTGGCCAGAATATTCCACTTTGCAACTTCAGACTGGTGGGCCGCTCTGATGGAACTTAGAAAAAAATTGAGCTGACATACCTGGCGCTGCAGTCTGCTTCCAACACGTTTTTGTATGTTTTAAATCATGGGCACAGCTGATTTGTTTAATTTAGTGATGAATCACGCCTGTAAACACTAGTGAAGGCTGGGGAGACATTTCAGCTAGCTGTTAGATTAAGGTGTTAAAATCACAAAAGTATAGCAAGGAAATAGGTTTTGCTCTTGGTTCTACAAACACGGCGGTGACACTAGGGGGTGCTAAAAGCAAGCCAAAACTGCCTTCTTCCCCTTTAACTGGTACTGACTTCCTTTTACATGCTAACATCAGTACTATATTCAGTACGTGTGTAATACCTGGATGTACATTTGAATGCCTGTGTCTTAGAGGCTGCTTCTCTGAAGAAGGATAGGTTACTGAGCTCTTTTCAGGTGTTAAGAGACTGTCTTTGTGACTATCAGGAGGCTGTGAGAAGGGTGTATTTCTCAAACGTAATACTCTCGGCGCATCACAGTCCACGGATGCTTAACAATTGATAACATCCTCAATATTCACCAACCAGTGGGTATTGAGCCCTCTGTGATGTCTTGCGAAGCATTTTTGAGTTTTTTTGTGGACAAAATAGTCAATATTAGAGCCCAGATTCCGTCAGTCCCTTCCTTGTCAGACTCTTTCTGGTCCCTGTTCAGCTACTTTTAGTCAGTTTGAGCCGCTAATGTTGGGCTGACTTTGGGATTTTGTTAACTCTGTAAAACCTTTGTTCTCCTTTGGATTTGATGCCCCCTAGGCTTTCAAAAGAGTTTTTTTCTCATCAGCTGGTCCTTGGGTTCTTGCCATCATTAATCAGAGCATTGTAGTACCAGGGAGCTGGAAACATGCTGTTGTTCAGCCTTTACTGAAGAAGGCTGGACTTGACTCACCTGCTTTGTCCAGTTATCGACCCATCTCCAGACTTCCTTTTATTTCTAGTACTGGAGAAGGTAATTTACTCACATTTGACTGAGTATTTGATAGGAAATGACATTTTGGAAAAATTCCAGTCTGGTTTCAAGCCAGTCCACAGTAAAGAATCGGCAATGCTTCAGGTTTTTAATGGCATTTTATTGGCAACTGATTCCGGAGACTTTGATATTTTGGTATTGTTGGACCTACCGGCTGCATTCAATACTGTTGATCATTCTCTCCTGACTTATGTTTATGTTATGTTTATTCATTTCGCAGACACTTTTATCCAAAGCGACGTACAAGTTTTTTTTTTTTAATAACCTGTAGGGCATGTTGTGATGTGTGGGGGAAACCGGAGTACCCGGAGGAAACCCACGCATGCATGGGGAGAACACGCAACTCCACGCTGATTTCTAGGATGGAACACTTTGTGGGTGTTCATGGGGTCGCGCTGGATTGGTTTGTGTCGTATATGGTTGACAGAACCTTGGGTGTCTCATTGGGGGGATTTTACTTCCTCTGATGCTTCATTGTCATGTAGGGTTCCCCAGGGTTCTTTGTTGGGCCCATTGTTGTTTTCTTTGTATCTGCTACCTCTTGGTTTGATTTTAAAGAAATATGAGTGTAATTTTCACTGTTATGTAGATGATACCCAGGTATGCGTGCCTTTTATGTGCCTCTCTCCTCCATATATTTCAGACCTTATAAGTATTACCACCCCCTCCAGTTCCCTCAGATCATCTTCCTCCCTCCATCTTGCTGTTCCTTCTGCCAGACTCACTGCCATGGGGAGCAGAGCTTTTAGCTGCTCAGCTCCCCATCTCTGGAACTTGCTCGTCCCAGACATCAGAAGTATTGACAGTTTCACCCTCTTAAAATCCAGACTCAAGACACACCTGTTCACATCAGCCTATGACCTCTGATTTTATTTGAATTGTTATATTTTTTTCTATGTTCTTTTCATCATTGTATTTTATTGTTGTTTTAATGTATTTTACTGAATGTATCTTTCCTGTCAAGTGACCTTGGGTGTCCTGAGAGGCGCTTTTTAAAAAAATGTAGTATTATCATCATTATTTTAAGAGGGGCCACAATCATGCTTTGCAGTCTCTTTTAGATTGTTTTGCGGAAAGTAAACAGTTTAGAAGCAATATGCGTGACCTTGAGGCTGTTTCATGCACTCTGACGCTGTGTCAAAGGGAACTGTGGAAAAGGTTAAATAACCTCGAGGAATAGGTCCTTCATCACGTTACATAGAGGTTAGGCAATGAATGTTCTCTAACTTCCTTCTTTGTATTGATAAAAAGACAGAGGTTGTAGTTTTTGGTCCATTACTTTGTCTAGGGTGGGTGCAGTGGACCTCGGTCAGCTCGTCCCATTCTTGAAACTGAGTGTAACTTCCTTGGGTGTTGTACTGGATGGGAATCTTGATTTGGACAGGCAGATCAGTGCGGTGACTAAATCTGTTTTTTTATCAATTAAGAAGGTAAAGAACTTGCTGTCAAAAATGATTTTGAAGCGGCAATTCATGCTTTTATTACATCAAGGCTTGATTACTGTAATTCTTTGAACCTTGGTGCTTCACAATCCCACCTCTCACGTCTTCAGTTGGTGCAGAATGCTGCTGCATGTCTGCTCACTGGGATGAAAAATATGGAGCATGTTACTCCTGTCTTGGCCTCACTGCACTGGCCGCCTGTTCGTTTTAGAATCCAGTACAATGTGCTTTTATGAGCTTTTAAATCTTTGCATGGCCTTGCTCCAGGTTACCTCTCTGAGCTACTGGTTTTTTACTCCCCTGCACGGTCTCTGAGGTTGGCTGATAGGATGCTCCTGGAAGTCCCAAAAACAAGACGTAAGCCCAGAGGTGACAGGGCTTTGTTTGTAGCGGCCCCTAGGCTCTGGACTGCACTACCTTTGAGCATTAGGTCAGCCTCTTCACTGTCTGGTTTTAAATCTCTTTTGAAAACCTATTTTTAGGATTTGGCCTTTAACTCAGCATAAGAGGCTTTTAAATGATAGTTCTTAAGCTTTAGTTTTTATGCATTTTTATGTTGTGTATTGCTTTTAATGTTTTTAATTTCTGTGAAGCACTTTGGTCGTTTTTTTCTACTGTTGTAAGGTGCTATACAAATAAAGCTGCCTTGCCTCTTTAGAAACAGAATTGTTTGCTTTTTATAAATTTTTCTAATTGTTGAAGGTAGCTACTGCTTTTGTGTATTTATCTGTTTTATTGTTATTATTACTATTTGTCTTCTTCCTTTTCTCTAAGTGTATGTGTTGCCTTAATGAGTGAACTTCCCCACTGTGGGGTTAATACATTCTATTCTATTCTATTCTATTCTATTTGCTAATTTTTGGTCTTTTTATTTTAGAAAAATAACTCTGTAAAAATATATTTAATGCTGATGGTTACTTATGAGATCGACACTTATGGATGTTTAGCTCTATAGGCTCGGCAGCTCATGCCGCATCACCAAATTCAATCTGAACCCCTGTATGAAGTTACAGCAGCTTACAATGGGATCTCTGTTCACTGCTGAGGTGCCACAACTGGGACTTCTGAGCATGCTCAGTGCACTGCCCAGTCTCATTCCAGTGAAACAGTAAGGAGAAGTCCAGGCTACCAGTGTGGGATCTTTATCATCGTGTTTAACTCAAATTGATGTTGCTCCAGCTAAACACTACAAACAATGCTCTTTTGGGAAATTTGGGGGACTTTGTAAAGACTTTAAAACATATAAATTGTTTAAATTCAGTTTCTAAGTGCCCATTTAAAGTGGTGCTTATCAATAGTTTTTAAGGATTTCTGAAGATTTTCCTTTGGTTCAGCTCCTGTACCTGATCATAACAAAAACATTGAGCAGTGTGTGCTTAGAAAAACAGACAAGTGGAGGTCAGCCCCCCCCCCCCAAAAAATCTCCAGTAGATGGACAGAAAATTAAAGATCTGAAATAGAATTTGAGTGACACGTGATCTTTGAGTTATGACTTATTAGCTCATTGGGAATTACCTGGTTGGTGCTAACATGTCATTTTATGTGACCGCTGTAACCATTTTGTGTTTTTACCATTTTTGCAAAAGAAGTGAGAACAAATGATGTTTTTTGGACAGTTCTTGGAAAGAACCAGTTTAAAACTGGTTCTTTACAAACTTCTGTTATGTATCCACATTACTTTGATTTTAGGAGTTTCTATCGGTTGTGAATCCTAACAATCTGAATTCAGAAACTGAAACGGCAAAAGTGAGAACAAGAAGCATTTTTATTGCCACTTGGATTAAGAAAGTAGGAAAGAGGCGGATGATTTAATTATTGGAGCAGGAGGAGCAGCAGGCTCCTTGGTCCAGTTTCAAGGATGCAAGCCAAGGACCTTCTGTCAGCAGGCTTGCTCCAGCAGTCATGACAGGAAATCAGCCGTCAAACATGGTGGTCCCACTCCCACAAAAAACATGTACACTCACACACTCAGCTTCAACCCTGAGAGGAATTTGGTGAGGTGACAGCTCTGATTTAGGCTCACCGCAGACACAATCAGCAGCCAGCACTTTCCCCACGAGCATCACCTCTGTCAGAAAAGCTGAACTGAGATCAGCCCTCAAAGGATGAGATGAGCACAGTCAGGGTAAAATCTGCATGAAAATAACTCTGTTCAGATGTACAGGGTCCTGAGGTTTCCAGGATAAAGCTCCAGATTCAGATCAGCATTTTGGGATTACTTGTGGGATTCATTAGGTTCAGTTGCTGCACAAGTAGCAGAACAGAAACAGCAGGTTACACATATGGTAAAGATGTTAAAAAAATAAAAAGCTGCCTCAATTTCAGTGAGAAATTGTTGAAACTGTAATTACTCAGAAGGAAATCCTAGAAATAAAAAGCTGAAAATTCTACTTGATCAATAAATGTTCATTTCTTTCCCATTATTAACCAAGTGTTAATTCCACTTATCAGTTAATTAGGGGAAAAAGTACCTGTCAGATGTTTGCTCAGAAAGAGAAATAAATGCACATACAAAAGAGTTTAAAAAAGATGGCACATTTATTGTAACATAAATGTTATATACATTGTTTTTCTGTTGAAAAAGACAGAAAATTCAAATTCTTGCTGCCGTTATTTTTCCTTCCTTTTGTTTCTTTTGATGTGCATCAACGACACATTTTATTTGACACAAAAAAAATTCTTTTTTATTTATCAATCAACAACGGAGACCGAAGAGACCAATGGAAGTCTGTCGTTTAGGAAGCTGGAGCTCGTGCGAGGAACCCGACTGTTCAGTTGCTCGAGGAGATGCCGTCTGTAAAATTTCTGGTGATAATCGACATGTTGTGGTAAATAACCGTACATTTTACTATCTAATATAGTAAAATAAAGTAAGAAACTTTTTACTCAAAACTTTTGCTTTCAAAAATCTAGAAAGAGTAATATTTAGAATTCAAGAAATATTCTTACAGTATTGTTGTATAAAAGACTAACTACAGTGAAAAATAAGCCAAATGTTTTTTTTTCTTGTCATTTTCTTCTTTTTAGTCACATATTATACAAGGGAAAGCATCTGGAAATACAGCAAAGTCTAACTTGGCAAACAAAAGAGCAAAGAAATACAGGAAATAAAAAAAGAAGGAAATAGAGCTGGAAGTGACATACATCACACCCTCAGCTGAAGTCTGCCAACATGAATATGAGGTCATGAAATACTGAAAGGAAGAACAAGGCCACATTCAGGCAGAGAAATGCTGAGTAAGTCATTATGTTTGAATCCAGTAACATAAATGTTGAATATAATCTACTTTTGTTTTTTTTTAATTCAAGCTGAAGTCTCTGTTGTTCATTCTGAATGTGGCAGTCCTGCTTATGGTGTTCATAATGAAAGAACATGATTTACAAAGAAATATTTGGAATATAAAGCAAGTCTTAAGACTGAAGGAGAGACGTGAAGCATGCACATCGAAAGGGAAAACAAATCAGAAAACCATGGACTATGTGTCATGAAATGTAAATAAAAATAACAGTTTTTGATCATTTTTCTCCTGCGGTCCATTATTCATATTATTATTAATAAACAAATATAAAAAAATCCATGACATATGCAGCCTGGCTGACTTTACTGAGCTTTGATCTAAACATTATTGGAACTGTGTCGTTGATTTGAACTGGACACACAGCGCTGGACGTCAGAGAAAAAAGGCTCGCTACAATAAAGAGAAGCAGAAACTAAGCGTTACTTTAAATAACTGTGCTCAAAAGTTAATGTTTTGGAAATATTAAGAAAGAAAACTTATATGTTCATCAGGCCAGGAAAAGACGTGGTCTTCGTTTTGCTTTGTTTTCCTTTTACTGTTTAACTACATCTCATGACGCTATCTCTGATTTGCTGGCACCCCAACATTTTTTGCAAAAATCTGTAACTACTGATATTAAATACAATGTGACAAAGGAACAACCAGGCAGTCATGTCCCTCTTTTTTAGTTAAGACACTAAAAATACACAGGAAATGCTGAGTTACTCGCTGTATGTTTATTGTCGCCACCGAGGGGTGGGGTGGGGGGGCACACGACTAAACCTGAGCTTTCAGTAAAACTACAGTTTGCCTCTCGTCTGTCACCGCTCTGCACATTATTGTTGATGTGTTTGGACCTGTTTGTGCGTCGCTCAGTCATGCAGAGCCTGATCTCAGCTACACAGAAACAAACATCAGGTAGTTTTGGTAGGACATGTGGCCAGTGGCATGATGGACAAATAAATATAAATAATATATTCTCTTTTTTTTAATTTAAAAGAACCCTAAAAACACAGGCTGATCAGTAATTCGTGTCTAACAACTATTTCTGTTTTTCTCTGAGTAACGCGGTCACAAACTGGCCAATAAATTAATCTCAGTGTCGGGCTGCGTAACGGCGCCGTGGTTAGAGCTGTTGCCTTGCAGCGAGAAGGTCCTGAGTTCGCTTCCCGGCCTGGGATCTTTCTGCATGGAGTTTGCATGTTCTCCCTGTGCATGCGTGGGTTCTCTCCGGGTACTCCGGCTTCCTCCCACAGTCCAAAAACATGACTGTTAGGTTAATTGGTCTGTCTAAATTGTCCTTAGGTGTGTGTGTGTGTGTGTGTGTGTGCATGATTGTTTGTCCTGTGTGTCTCTGTGTTGCCCTGCGATGGACTGACTCTCTGTCCAGGGTGTACCCCGCCTGATTGCCCACTGACCACTGGAGATAGGCACCAGCCCCCCCGCAACCCTACGAGGACAAAGTGGGTTCAGACGATGGATGGATGGATGGGTCCCGGTGCCTCGGCTGCAGGACGGAGTGCTCAGTTTCAACGGTGACGCCGGCAAACTATAATGAACTGAAAAACTGCACGCTGCTCTTTGCATTTACCTACCTTTCCCTTTAGACATACATTTCATAGTTCAATAACATAATAAATAAGAAAAAAACAACAAACGGAAAGAAATAAAAATTGCTGTTACAATGCATTCGTCAATTCAGTTTAGGCACAAGGCAATTTCCATACGGTCGGAGATTGCAGAGTCTCTGATTGTTCAGAAGCAACTCACTTCTTGCAGACAGTGATATGTGCTGAGGATTTATTTTTCGTGTTTGCTTTTCTGGAGGGGAGAATTTTGCAGATGGAAGCTGGTCGCAGCAAGCTGGAATCTCAGCTCTTCATAAATCGGTGGGCTGGATTGTACAGGACTCTTTAGTTTTGCTTCAAGTGGTCTGTCTCCTCCAATTGGGTCACAAACTGTGAGTCCTGTCTGTCACTGCGGGAAGCAAGGTCGCCGACTCAAACGGGACAGAAGTGATCTCCGTCGCACCGATCTGGAGGGAACAAACGTACCGATCAGAGGGGAACGTTAGCAATAACACAGGGACAAAAGCAGCTAATTCTGTCTGTTTCAGGTATTTAACCAAAGTTTATGGTGAAACAGAAAATTGTGAATACAAACAATATATAAAGTTGGAGAAAACCTTTGAGAATGAAGATCTATTTCTGAGTTGTGATGCTGAGATTACCTGCCTCCTGCTCAGAGGTGGCCCATTGGGTTGGATGTGTCAGTCAGACCCGGATGGACCCCTGTGTGCCCTTGCTGGGCGTCGCTGGAGCTCCCAGATACTTTCTCCTCCTCCCGCCTTTTAAGGCAGGCGGCTTTGGGGTTCAAATTCCGCTCTGTAGGATCAGAAACACAGAAAAAAATTATGCTGATTTTCTGCATTGTACTTAAACAGAAATGTCAGATTAGGATTATATTTACTCTTAATCAAATTCACAGAAAAAAAATTAAAGCCTAGCTTCTAACTAACATTATTTTTTATAATCTTTACAAAATATAATAGTAAAATAAACAAGAGCAACTCTTCAGGCACCTTTAATATAATAATATTTAATGTATAACTAGTAACCATATTTAATAACTGTAAAGGTTGCAGTTCAAAGTTTAATGCATTTTTTTCCTAATTATCTGGATTCCTTTCTGCATGTGACTCTGGATTAAAATCACCACAAGCATAAAAACATAGCTAGTGAGACTGTCCACACCAGGACATGCAGGGGGATATTTAATGGGATACTATGCAACTTTTTAATATTTTAAATCATTTTCTTTTATCCAGTTTGTGCTAAAATGACCCTTTACATGGTCAATGAAATGTCACTTAGACCCCACTGCCCCCTGTGGCCAGAATATTGCATTTGCAAATTCAGAGTTGCCGATCTGGTCCCTGCTGGTGGGGGGAGCTGTGGAGTGGAGCTGACATGGTGGAACTGGAGTCTGCTTCCATCTAGTTTCCTGCATGTTATAGATGGTGAACACAGCTGATTTGTTTGATTTAGTGATGAATCGCTCCTCTAGAAACTAATGAAAGCTGAAGAGAAATTTCAGCAGTTGGATGAAGGTGTTAAACAGACAAACTCACCGCGAGGAGATAAGCTTCATTTTTGGTTAATTAATTACGGACTAGTATCCTAGTATCCCTTTAAACCAGGGGTATTCAATTCCGGTCCTGGAGGTCTGGTTTCCAGCACGCTTTAGTGGTTTCTCTGATTCAACACACTTGATTCACCTGTGTAGCAGCTCATCAGGCTCTGCAGAAGCTTGTTACTCACCTGCTGATTGAAATCAGGAATGCTGAAACAGTTCAAACTAAAACGTGCTGGATACTGGACCTCCAGGCCTGATATGGAATACCCCTGGGCTGCATGGTGTAACCCTGCTTTAAACGGTGGCAGATTAATCTGCACAGTGGAAGTAAAACGTTAATTATAAAATTAGAAATTTTAACACAGAAACTAAACACGATTAAAAAAGCAGGTTTTATTATAAATTAGGTGTAAATGTTTTTGCAATGCATGTAAATTAAAAATCGTCTATGAACTTTTCATTTTTATACAAGTTTCTTCTCCATACATTGTGAAAATAGCTTTTTTACATTAGAAAATGGTAATTCTACATGGAACGCGCGCTCCTGTTAGAAGGGTAAACGCTTGACTATGAAAAGACAATTTTTGTGAGATTTACGTTAGGAGTCGTCTTTGTAGGATTATATCTGAATCAGTGGTTTTAAATCTGAATGAAACCACAAGCATTTATACTTTGTTAAATAGCTATTATTAGCATAATATCTTAAACATCAGCAAAACTACTAAATAAAAAGCACTTGAATTAAATTTTTTGAAAACCGTATTTGACAAAAAAGAAATCTAAATTAAATGTGAAATATTTATTTATACTGTAGCTTTTTGAATAGCTAAACGTGCTAACTTGAGGTACGATTGATGTTGAATCATTGAAGTGTTTCAGAAACCCAAGGTTGTCTTAATGTGCAACAGCAGTGACATTTCAGTTAGTTGCAGCTTGTTGCAACACTGACCTCTGACTTGCTGCTCCAAGCTAAGAATGACGGCCACAGCCTGATGGAGGATGAGTAGTTTAGTCTGAGGCTTCTCGCTTTTCAAGTGCAGCTGGCACATGCGACCCAGCTCCTTGAAGGCCTCGTTGATGTCTCGGACCCTCAGGCGTTCGCGGGCATTGTTGGCCATCCTCCTCTCGCGCTCGCGCTCAGCCTTCTGCTCTGGATTTAGATCCTCGTCTTCAGTGATGCTGCTTTGAAGACGGAAAGGAAATAAAAGAGAAGTCAATATTTGTACAAAGCAGAAATCTGTGACTTTAATCTGACATTATCAAATCATTTATGTTGTAAACAAACCTTTTCATCATGAATAATTTGACTCTGACAATAGGATTTTGGTCTATCTTTATTAAAAAGCTACCTTGTGCGTGGGCCCAGTCTGGGTGTCTTCATATCTCTTCTGTCACTCTCGTCGTCTGATTTACAATCAGAGAAATCATCGTGCATGTCATCCTTTTCTTGCTTCTCAACTTTCAGCTCCAGAGAGGCGGGCACCTGGCTGGACAGCCCCGAAGTGAGACCTGGCACCAGTGAATATGAAGTTAAGACATCACGAGGAAGGTTTGCTGGTCCCTGCCAGTTAAAAAAAAATGTATTTTGTTGAGCGCCTGACCTCTGAACGCCTCCACTTGATGGCTGAGCTCTGTGCTGGATGTGGAGCCGGTGCTGGGCAGGCCTCCATGGCTGTTGCTCAGGCTGGCGGCGTCATCACCACCCTGCAGCAACACAGACAGGAAGGACGTGAAAAGAAAGGAAGCAGACGTGCTCGGGAAACGGCGAAGATTAACACAAAATCTACTTATTTGTTCTACATTCATAAAATAAAGCTAGCCGCATTTTCACACAATATTTGATTTTTCTGTTTACATTTAATTAAAAGCTGAGAAATCATCACAAAGTGTGAAGAGTATCTCCCTTTCCTCTGGAATGTGATCCCCAGTCACTGTTTGGCCTCTGTTAACCCCACCACTCCGAGAACCTCCCCTTCCTCTGCGCTACGCTAATCTTTGCAGCGCTCTCAACAGGTGTCCAAACAACTCTTTGTCTGGAGAAGGGGAGGGGGGAGCAGGGGCTGTGGCGAGAAAAGAACGCTGCCATTTTCATGGCTGGGCCTTATTATCATACAGCTGAGGACCTCCATTTGGGTGGAGGCCGCTGGGTTCAGACACACGTTTCCAACGATTCAGATTTCCTGGTTGTTAAAAAGAAGTGATGAAAAGGGGTGGGAGAGGGTAGAGGGCGGGGTGTCAGCTGGAGAGAAAAGCCTGCGGCTGTGCTGCGCCGAGGCTGTCTGTAGGGACCTCTTCCCACACAGGAAGTGCTGTGTTAGTGCAGACACAGTATGTTCTATCTCACAGTCGCAGTCGGTCAACATCAATGCCACAAGCCAGCTTTCTGTAACAAATACATCACACTGAGCTCCTCTGACAACCACAGAAGACTTCTTGTTATGGGACGAAACACGCAACCCAACTGCTGGCAGCATCACGGTGAGCCTTCCCACTAGCAGCAGACACGCCATCCTCAAACATTACCGCCATCTGAAATATTTAGCTTTGAAAGCTAAATAATTAATTAAGAGTGATAATTATATATTCATGTTTTCTACACAGTTGACAAATGCAAATAGTTATTCAAATAGTTATTTTCAAAGAAAACTAAATTACAATCTGATTAAAGACATCGAAGGATTTTCCTCATCGGTTCGACTCATTTGATTACTTACAGCAGGTAACCTGAACCTCTATCTGCAGTAAAACTGCTCTTGCACAGCGTCTGACCCGAGTTATTTCCAAACAGCTCCGGATTACAGTCCGACGAGCTGCTTCATTCTGATTTCCACCGCAGATGTGTTCAAATCTCTTGGCTCTATAAAACCAAATACCACGGATGGAGGAGGGGTGAACTCATCCTGATTTATACCGGGACCTGCTTTTCCGTTCTCCTCAAGAGGCTTTTGGCTTTAACTCGGAGAGGAGAGCAACTCACAAACAGGTCCTGCACCGAGGCCTGTTTTTCTCATTTTCCTTCCACCCTCATGTGTAGAGTTGCTCTCAGGAGCAGGGCGGGCTTTAGGCCAGGAATTACACTTACGGAAAATACGTCAGGATAAACTCAACTCTTCATGTGTGGAAAATGTCTAGCTGTCGCACATGGCAGCGCACCAGTTTTGAGCAGGTGGTTGGGTCTCTACTGTGACCAATTCTCAGGAACAAAAACACTAGATTTTTAAACACTCGTGTGAGGTTCCCATACCATGGCAGTCCGGTTTGGAAGGAGTGCAGAGGCCGGAAAGTTTGGTCCGATGGTTGTTATTGGCCCGTTTTGAGCCTGTCCCAGCAGGCCGTGTATGTCGCTGGGCAGACTGGTGGTGGAGCCCACTGCATGGTTCCTCAAAACAAGGATTGCATCATCCAATCTGTCCAGACGATCCTCCATTCGAGACTGGGAGGACCAAGAGTCGGGGAAAGTGAGAGAGAGGAGAGAAAGACAGACAGAGCAGCTTAGTATAAGCACATTAGGACCAAAACTGAAAACACTGATTGTATGGTGTGGACTCAGGAAGAAAAAAAAAAGGCAACATAAGATAAAGAAGTCAATTCAAATGTGAGATTAAAAGTGCCGGTTCAGCTTGAGATATGAAAGGAAATCTATACTTGTTTGTTTTTGATTAAATACACAAGTCATTACACTTCATTTAAATTTTAAACCAGCATCAGATTCACTACAAGCTGAAAGGCAGAAAAAAAACAACATGGGGTGATGGCAAGGCAAGAGGAGTCAACAAATAATAAAACTGCATTTCACTGTAACAAATGGGATCAAATGTATGCAAGAAAACAAACAAAAAATGAAAATATGTATAGAGAATGTACGATTATAGACTCTATGTGAAGAGTACCTCGCAGACATCCTTTAAGAAAGACATGGCATCCTGGAGATGCTCATGCAACTGCTGATGAACTCTGTTTTTCTGGCAAAGTCAAATAAGAATAGGAGAATTATAAGAACAGATCAGAGTCTTACAAACACACTGAAGATAGAGATTGTTTTTTTTAAAGTCACACAGATGAAAAGACGGGATCTGGAGGGAAGCAGAACGCTGCTGACCACTCACTTTGCACAAATGCTTTAGTGTTTGCACGTTTAGACGGCCCCTAAACAACAGCGGTCACATCCGTGCCCTAGTGTCGTGATGCTCAAGTCTGAGTTTGTTGTTTCCTTTTCTTATTCATTGATGCAGTAAATAAGAAAAGGAAACAACCAGAATGACTTTAAAAAGTCAGAGTAAAACTAAAGGAAGTGTCACTGGATCAGGAGATTGTCTGTTTATAAAAGAAAACCAGACATGAGTTTAATCGCGGGTTTGAGGATGAAAACAACAACAAACCCAACTGGGCTCCCTTCTGTACGCAATAAAAGGCCTTTTGTTTGAACTTTAACCTGATGTTTACTTTGTCCTTTTGTGCTCTTTATTGTCCCAAACTGCGCTTGGTCTGTCAAACAGCTTACTCTGGAAGTGAGCAGCTTCAACTAGGGGACAAAAAAACTCAGTTAAAGAAAATCTGCCATCTGATGATTTTACACAACTTGTGCTTAAGAGTCGACAGAAGAAGACGTACATTTGTGACAAGTGCATCAGGTATTGGCTGCTGAAATGGGATTGCACGACAGCGAAGGAATTCTGGATAAGTGAGTCTGCAAGCAGCTGTCCCCCAACACACACACACACACACACACACACACACACACACACACACACACACACACACACACACACACACCCACACACACACACACACACACACACACACACACACACACACACACACACACACACACACACACACACACTGGGCTGCTTAACTCAACCCATCCCCCTCAACTGTCATCCCCGCCCTGGCCCACAGACTAGAGGACAGATGGTAAGCCCCGAGGGACAGGTATTGTTCAGTTGGGTTGTCCCTCGACCCCAGCGTTCCACAGGAACAAACATTTGTCAGACAGGAATCTCCCCGTAATGCAACCTCACGCATTCGTGGGCAACATATCTAAAGTAATCACTGGTCATGCGATCCGCTCACGGGAGCACGGAGGAGCGTGGAGAGCTTACCAGTGAGTGGAGGGAGTTCTCGTAACTTGGAGAAGAGGGGGGCTGTCCACTGACACGGGGCCACTGGTTGGTACCTGAGGTGATAATATCAATGTTAGTGAGTTAAACCCAACCTGCTGAACTTTCAAACACAATAAGGACACTGACATCCTGATTTTCTGCTTTCCTCTTCTAGAATGATATTTTTAGATCTTTTAGGACTCAGCTGCATCACTTCCTGATGGCTGGACGGCATCCTGACATTTGAGACAAACACCCACTTCCACCTTCAAACATACAATTCACCCAGAACTATGAAAATCTAACTTCAAACACTTTAACTCACACCTTTGTTCTGAGATTCTCTGGGATTTTACAAGCCAAAATGATCAAAAGGCTTTCAGCCCATTGCTTTCATCGAGGCCTTTGATGGAGAAAAGATTCTAATAATCTGAGTTTAATCAACTCCCTCCTCATGTTGCCGTCTTTGGACAAACTGGTGATTATTCCTCCCGACTTTGTTAGCATTTATAAACATCTTAGCTAACCTATTGCTGTCGCACCAAAGCTCTTTTCTTTTGACTCTAAATAAAGAAGAATCACACCTTTTAACCACATGGCTTCAACAATGAGCAATCTAACTATTTCCCTTCAGCTGGAACACATTCAGAAACCGGACTCTCCGGAGTCTAAATGAGCCAAAGAAGGGCCAGCGAACGGAAGACAAATCCAACTGATTTGATCTGCTGTAAATGGAAGAAAAGGAATGCACATCTGTTCATCACATTTCCAGCAGCCCCGCCTTTCTGTCTTGTGTTTATTGATGCATTAATTGTCTGAGTCTCCTGCCTGCCACGTGCAACAGGAGCTGGTGACTATAACGACCCTTAATGGATTGTGACACAAATCAACTTTATCCGGGTATTTATGGGGCATTTCAAGACTCTGGAATTTAAAGGTGTGGAACACTGAAAACTCCATTTTTTTATGACTATTTCTGATTGTAATCGGTCACTCTGAGTTTTCATGCAAGCTGAACATGAAAATAGTCTCCTACACCTATCTCATTCATTTGCTTTTGATAGAAAATAGATGGTGAAACGCTAGGATTTGAAAAGCCTGATCACACTGTCACTTAACATTCATGGACTTATGGACATCTTAACTTATGATGGGGAAGGTTGCTGATGGTTAAACGTCCAGGAAACAGGCAAAGGACGTCCCGACAATTCTAAGCTAACCGTTAGCATTAGCAACACCACCACACGGCTGAAGCTCCTCCAGACTTGTGCTATTTGTGGAGATAAAACATCCATGCTGCAAGTCAGCGGTAGAGTTGTGTTGCTGTTTTCCAATTCAAGGCAAGATGTCCAAATATCAGGAAATAAGACTCCAAAACCTGCCGTCAGAAACTCAGCTGTTATGTGGGTCACTGTTAGTCCCTGGAAATGGTGCACCGGTATATAACCCCCCCCACCCCCCCACCCCACCCCACCCCACCACCACCACCACCACCAAAAGAACAATTTACAAGGCATTAATTTCTACTAGAGACCACTGCAAATGTATTGATGAAATAAGTGAACCACACCTTTTAAGAGGAACTCAGCAGTTTGGCTTGCTTTTAGCCTACTGAGCGTTTGTAGAATTGAAAGCAAAAATCTAACAGCTGGAATGTCTCTCCCACCTTTATTAGTGTCTACAGGAGTGATTCATCACTAAATTAAACAAATCAGCTGTTCATGATCCAAAACATGCAGGAAACATGCTGGAATCAGACTGCAGCGCCAGGTATGTCAGGTAAGTCCCAACAGAGCGGCCCGCCAGTCTGAATTTGCAAATGAAATATTCTGGCCACAGGGGGTGATAGGGGCTGGGTGGCCTTTCAGTAGCCTTGTAAAGGGCTCAAGAAAATGATTAAAAAACATGAAAAAGTTGCAAAGAATCCCTTTAAATGCTGCTTATTTAGCTAAATTTGAAGATTTTTTTTAACTTTTTTTTTTACTTTTGGTTCAACACTGAATGGCTGTCTTACTCTGGTGTTTGATTTTATACAAGTGAAGACTTTTCTTGTAAGACTGAGTGAACATTAAGAAAACTAAAATTAACACAATTTTTTTTAATCTGCAGAACTGTACTGGACCAGTAAAAAAAATATCACACACCTCTCTGGGGTCTGGAAGCCATTCACAATGTTTTGCCATTAATTAATTCCACTGAAATGTCTGACTAATCTTTGACAGTCCTTTGTACTTGAGTTTTCATGTTTTCTCACACTCGGCCTTTTAAAAAGCAGACATTAATTAACAGACTATTAAAAGTGAAGGAAGTGAAAGTCTGCTCCGCATCAGCTTTCTCCCAGGTGAGTGAGAAAAGTACTTCTCATGAGCCTCCGTGGGCTGGCGAATGAAAAATTAGCCTGCGGCTGTTCCCCACATGCACCGGAGAGGGCTAATTGAACAAACCAGTCTTGAGTAATGTGCTGTATACTGGTGTAATCCTGGTGATGAATGAATTTTGCTACTAACATCTACAGCAAGCCGAACTTTGGGCCATTTTCAAAGCATCGCTCTCTTTCCAGCCCCCAGAAGCATAATAAGGGCAGATAATTGAAGAAACAATATCCTTTCTCCACAAACACACATGTAAACGCTCTCTAATCGTCTATTATGTTTCTTCTTTGCGTTAAGACCTCTATGAATCATCATTGTTGTGCTGTCAGCAAATAGGTGGAGAAAGCCTCATCAGCTGAGTCAGAGCCACCCTCCTTCACCCTTTAGTAAATAAACAGAGCCTTTTGCAACCTCATCTGTGTGTGCGGGTGTGTGTGTGTGTATGTGTGTGTGTGCGTGCGCACGCACGTGTGTAGGGAACAGCTGTGCATGGGACAGGGCAACAGCTGAATCTGAGGGGGTCATACGTAGAGACAGCTGTCGCCACTACATTACCACACATGACACAACTGCCCACCAAATAAAACAATGCATCGGGCTTTTCCTTACCGCTCCCCCTCACCTCCATTAACACATCCGACCGTCTGTTTTCTTATAAAACGCGTCTCAAACGACCAGCGCAGAACACTCGGTTATTTGCTTTCTGTTCTGCCGACCGTGTTATGACAGGTCGTTCTCTATTTTTGTGGCAGAAAATAATTACAGTCCACGTCGAGATTTGTAAGTCCATCTTCAAAAATCTAACGACATAAAAACACAAGCTACTCTTGTCACGTCTCTCTTTTATGAAAAGTAGGATTATGTAGCAACAAACCCTCTCTAAATTGTCTCTTATTACAAAGTAGGGTGAATTCCATGAGCCGCTAAAAACACTCTAGCACAAATTAAAAGATTTTCTGAGAACTGTAATCTAAGACTGACTTCAAACACTTTTATTTGTGAGATGTTCAAATCCTTAAGCATGCAGAAAACCAAAGTTTTTTTTCTTTCCTTGAAAATACAAATCAGGATAAGACAAAGCCTGGTTTTATTCAAACAGAAGAGTTTAAATCATGAACAAAGACCCCCAATGATGTCACCAGGACTCAATATAGATTCATTCTGGATGGAAGCCAAAAAAAAGTGAAGCACGAGTGAACGCAGGAACAAGACCACCCTGCTAACTGAATAATCTCATGGGTTTGGAGGGAAATCTTCACTGAATTTTAACAAGAAGCACGTACAAGATTTGTTTTATAAATTAACTTAAACACTTTTATTTTAATGACTCATTAAACCTGTTAGCTTTAATCTGAAGATGACTAATTCATCTGGCTAACATGAAGACTGCGGAAGTCGATTAAAGCTACTTTAAAGCTAAAAGAGTTATTTAATGAAGGTTTAGAGAAAACTCTTCGCCACTTGTTCTGCTCGGGCTTTTGATTAATCAGAGTCTAAGCAGAGTGCAGCTCACAGTGAAAAGTAATTAAATTAATTAAAGTCATAAGGCCTTGTTTTTGTGGCAGCACGACAGCAAGTGCAAAGAAATCTTTGACAGTTTGGCAAATCCCAGACCTTGAAACTCGCTTCATCTGTTTGGTGTTTTGGTGCCAAGTGTAGAGTGCACAGCACATACAGTGGGTGGGAGGCTCGTTCCAAAGAGGCAGCGAGAAGTGACTTGTTGGTATTTTAGTGGAGAAAAGATGTACTTGTGCAGAGGAACTGCCAGAATTGTACTAGATTCTGAAAACAATGTTTATTACTGCTTCTGGTGTTGGCCAGAGCTTGTCAGTGCTGCACCATTCTAAAGTGACATGTTGGTGGATCCACTCCCTCTGATTTGAAAATCACCAAACCAGGCATCGTGCACAACAGTCCGCTGTATTTACCTTTTGTTAAATCACATGCAAATGAATCCAGTCTGCTTTAAAGTCACCTGACTCCATCCTACAGACGTTCGCTGCGACTGTGAGTTGTGTTCTTATGCAAAAAATGTCAGATTACAGCAGCTCATCTATCATACATGTCACAGCCACCAATCCATTCCAAAACACTCTTCTATTGTCTTTTGGTTTTTAGATGAATGACCAGACATTTTTACGGTGAACTAGAACGAATGATGACACAGCTCAGACACGTAAAAACCAAAGCTGTCTGTCTCTAACCTGCAGATCTGAGCACAAATGTCCTTTAGAGTTCAGACAGAGCCTCCGTCTGAAACAAGTTAATCATCCTGCTCTACAGTCTTCTAAGTGTTCTTGTGAGGTTACGACTGATCCCTGATTTTAAAATCATAAAGTAATATCTGATATTTTTTAATCCTGTAGTGTGTATATGTGTGTGTGTGAAGACTGGAGCTCTACCTGGCCTTCCAGACGGGGGACCGGCAGCAGTCACCACGGTCCCTGCAGAGGCTGAACCTGCTGTGGCGGTCAGAGGCGAAGGTGAACGCACAGGTGTCGAAGGATTGGAGGGGAAACTACTGCTAGTGTGGTCAGGTGAATAAATCTGAAAGTGCAAAGGAGAAAATAACAGGATAATTGGAATTTGTTGTCATTGCCGCAGAATCAAAATACGTTTAAAGCAGGTTTATAAACCCCTTTTTAAAAGACATGACAGAAATGTTCGGTGCATACATATGAACCTGTTTACAGTCATCTGTGTTCGGAGCACGACAACATTTGCTTTGATGTCTGATTCTGCTGCTCTGCTCTGTTTCAACTCCTTTAAACCTGTAGCTGAAGGGTAACGCCAAGTGACCAATATGGGTCAGCAAACAAACACCCACAATGTTATGGTCTGAATTTGTTCTAGCTAAAATTTATACAAGGGCAAAATGAAGACATTCAATTTGTGAATTCTCAGACTCTTAAAAACTCTTCCTGTTTTTTTCCCTAGCATTAAGACTTTTGTGTCTGAACGAGTCCCTCCACACTGAGAGGTGCAGACGCCCAACCTGGAAACCCCGTTAAGCCAAATACAGAAACTCTCAAGGGCCACATTTTAGCCTGCAGCCAGAGATTGTTCTGTGAGCCATTCATCAAAAAATACAAGAATCCAACTGCTGTTTATTTTTTTGCATCTGCTGAAACTTTGCAGTAAAGAGGACAACCAGGACAAAGGTTTTCTGCAAAATACCACTAATTACTTCATTTTACAGAATCTTTTTGTTTTTTTAGGTTAGCAACGTTTGCTGAGTTTTAGATTCAACTGAATACAATTTGTTCAAGCAAATGCTAGATTAAACAACAAATGTCAGACTTCTTTTTTCCTAAAGAAAAGGCCAAAGTGGAGAAGGTCTCTAAGGAATACCAGCAGATTTACAGTTTTTTTTTTAAAGATCAAACTGAATGGACAGGAAACCATTTTACTTATGAAGTGATGATAGAATACACCCATTGTTAATAATCTCCTTATTTAATCTTCATCTCAGAGCTTTAGATTTTCAATCAGCTTGCAGCATCATTCAGGACGGTTTCACTGAGGAGTGTCACTAAATCTGGAGGAGGATCGGCTCTGTGCTTTTATCTGACAGCCTTTTTTCAAAAAAATCGGTGAAAGACTAAGGAGGATGACTAGTGTGGTTATCGCTGTGGCAGGAACCAAAACAACTCAAAACGAAATCTCCAAACATCTCTCCGTTTCTTAAAGCGAGCCATTTATAACCCTGACTTTTGACCAGACACTCTCTCCCTTTCACTCCCAGGCTGCTAGCGCCGCATTCAAAGTGAAACATGGCTCATTTTTTCTGGAATAAATGAAGCCCCGCCTCATCATCAGTTACACTCCCGCAGGCGGCATGAGGCCAATAAGCATGGCCAATTTAAACGGGCGGAGAACAAAAGCTCTGAAAAAGGGGGGGCATGGAGTTGAGCCACAGCGGTTATAAACTCCCCTGTGCCCCTGCGATGTGTCCACCCACCCCCACCCTGGTCCAACCGTGTCCATTTCACTCCAGCTTTGTCATGCTAATGGAATTGAGTCTGCAAATATAAAAGACTTTAAATGTTATTAAGATCCATGAACTTTTATTATTCAGATTTGCACAAGTTAAGAAATATCCTTTTTTAAAAGGAGCAATTTTAAGCTGGAGCTTCAGCGATACCAAGAACTAACAAACAACAAACTAAATGTCATTTCAGGGGATTTGTTTCTCCATTTAACTGTTTTAAACTGGAATGTTCTCCAGCTATGAATCATTTCTGGCTCCCAAACCTCTCAGTGAGTCACCATATTACTATGAGCAGCATAAATGATCTAAATGACGTCACAGGTGAAATCCGTGCTGTAAACAAGCTTCACATGCACTTTTTCTGAATGCCTCTAGTTTAAGCTAAAGTTATTTTTGTTAGAGTAAACAAACAGTTTCTAATAGTTTGACCATTAAGGTGATCGCAGATTGGACACATTCATCTGCATTACTTTGGTGCTTCGCAGAACGTTATCTTGCACTGATTCGGAATTAACTCGGCTCACAACAACAAATGATTCCAACTCCTGCTCTGACTCACCGAAGCTAAAGCCTTGCCCAGCGCATCTCCAGTCTGCGAGCTTCCAGTTCCCGCTCCCCGGTTTGCAGCAACTAGGAGAACACAAAGACAGGCTTTGTTACAACAAACTCAGATGAACGAAGAGCGGTCGGGCCTCAAAAAGAAGCAATCCGACTGACATGCTAGCTTTCCAGAATAAATGTTTAGCTCTGATGACAGCGAGACTGAGCGTTATTTGGAGAAGCCTGCAGAACGGCTAAGCGCATACCCATAATCCCGTCGGCTGAGGTGACGGACGAGGTGTGCGCTGCGGTGACGAATGGCGAAGTGCTGGTGTTGCTCCGGTGAAAGCTCGACATGGGAGGAAGACTGGCATTGATGTCTGGAGAGACCGAGTGTGCAGGATAATTCTGGAACATCAAAAACAAACAGCATAAATGTTTGTATTAAAACAACAAATGTGTGCACAAGTAATAAAGAAAGCCCCATTATTTTTTTGTTATTTAAGTTGTAATTGTCCTCTGACATGTCCCAGGCTGTGATGGAGGAAAAGTTAATGGGGGAGGGATTGAGATAAAGAGAAGGCAGGCAGCATCTGCAGGCTCCCTGTGATGTTCTGCCAGCTGAAACAGGCAGACAGACGAGGCCAGATCAAACACTGACAAAAAGAAGGTCAATAGTGTCATCCCTGATAATAACCAGACAACAGCTTAACACACACACACACACACGCACGCACGCACACACACACACACGCACACGCACACGCACACACACACACACACACACACACACACACACACACACACACACACACACACACACACACACTCCAAGGCTGGAAGCTCTGCTGAAGGAGTCTAGGAGCCCAGACAGAATCTAAAAGCTGCAAAATGAACACCAATAATCACAAAAACCACTTCTTATCTATTTAGCTGCTTCTGGTGGAGGGTGCTTACCAAACGGTCATGTGAGTGCAGGGTGCTGTAGTTTCCTGACTGTGCCATGTGAGATGAAGATCCTGCGAGCATTCCCCCATAGCTGGGCTGAGTGATCCCACTGGATGGGTTCCATGGGTCAGAAGTACTGTGGGTACCATCTAGCTCACGCACGTACGCACGCACGCACGCACGCACGCACACACACACACACACACACACACACACACACGCACACACGCACACACACACGCACAAGAATAAATTAATTAACCTGAAATCACTCAACACACAAATTTGCTTTATTGTATATCTCTAGGACCACTTAAGAAGTGTTTTTTGTGTTTTCTTTGGGGATTGAAACATGATTCTTGTTGGAAACATAAAAGTTAAAGCTGGTATGTAAAAAAAAAAGTGTCAAAACAATAAAATCTACAAACAAAATAGAATAAAATTGTTGGTTTAAATGACAAAACGATTGTAAAAAAGACACTTTTGTTTGGTGTATTTGATAATACTGAAGTCCAAACTAAACGTGGCCTTGAACTTACCAAAGAAAGTGCTTGCGAACATACTGCTGGAGGGTTTAGGAGACGAATACGAAGGAGAATCTCGGTTGAAGTCCTCTGAGTTTGGAGACGGTGCGTACACCTGACAGGAATACACACCGGTTCAAAACTGATACTATCAAACAGACCATTTATTTTAAGAATTAAAAAGGCAGTTTATTAAAGTTCAAGTCTTCAAAAAGAAACACACGTTCACATTTAGGAGTTTGTCTACACACAAGTATGTAATCTCATGCTTGTATAAGTGCAAGAGATGCAGCACAAAACCTAAACACACACACACACACACACACACACACACACACACTAATGACTGGCAAGCAATCAAGCTCATGAAGGGAGGAGTGGATTATCAGGAGTATTTGCATTTCAGGTCAACTCAGTCTCTAATGGAAGTATAATGACACCGCTTAAACGCAAAGACTAAAAGCCTGGCAAATTGCAGCATTCCCACAGAGGCAGAAATCAAATAAGTGGTACAAAAACAGCCTATTTTGCATTCTTTATCTTTGTACCTGCTGGCTGTAGGAGGGAAAGGGGGAGGCACAATGAGCGTGCTGTTGTACAGCTGTGAGTGTGTGCCAAACTGGGCTGTGGGATCAAAGAGACTGGAGGCCAAACACCAGAGACGCGGTCTCTGACTTCATCCACTCCAGATGGCGAGAGCGGGGGTGAGGAGGGGAAGAAGTGAGAGAAGGTTTGGATGAATTCTCCCTCCCACGGACAGGACTGGACGACCTCGCCATTGTGTAACTCGAATCAGAGCCAGATCCACCTGCACGTTTCAAGCATGTGTCCCCCTCGGCCCACATGTTCAAACCCTCTTTTGACGGCCTCGTTTCACACCCTCACGCTGACGCTCACATCTCAAAATTACTCTTCAACGCATGTGGATGTGATGATAGCCGCCTATTTGTGTTGCTATTCTACAACCCAGTGCTAATGGAAAATATGCATCACGGCCAGCGTAAATAAATTCAATTAAACCTCCCACACGAGACGATATTATCAAGGCAAAACCTGAGAGTTCGTGCTGTTGGGCTTTGCTGAGTGAGCAGCACTCCAGCATGCTGTTGTCTGGATGTGTAATTAAAGTGCTCTGGGAGGGGTGGAGCTCTCATGGGTCTTCTGGCTTACACATGTGACCGCGGTGGATAGTAGTCCACAGAGATCTCAGGTTAACCTCACACTGGAGCCCAGGCTTTGTCTTTAGCCCGTGTCAGACGCTCTATGGGCAGCATATGGCAGTGGATAATGCTAATTGTCCTTTTTACCCTGGACTAACAAGTCAAAGCATTAATAAACCATCCCAAACACCGGGTGCCTCATTCCGTCAGCCTATGGAAGAGAGTTTCCTTTTACAAGGCTGTTAATTAAAAGCCGTCACTCACGCAGCTCGCCACACCAACACAGACCTACACACCGGTTATTTGAGCAGCAGCCGGTCCTGCTTAAATAAAATCACCCATAACAGCAGCACTAAAGTTCAAAGCATTCGTTTGAAATAAATCATCCCAGGAAATTACAGAAAACCGCTACCAAGGTAAATGACTATAATAATGTATACATTTAACTTTTTAACACTAGTTATGTTAACTCAGTACTGTTATAATTTCACCACCTTATGAATAAATCACAATCAGGAAAAAAAATTAAAGCTGCTTTAGCAAATTTATAGAACAAGCTAGGTTTTGACACAGAATACGATAACGGAGCACTCACTACTCCCCTTGGGAGTCTTCCTTGAGACGCTTCTGTTGTAACTGGACACCCGCATTTCAAGAGGAAACAAGATAGTGCTAAACACCAGTCATCGTTTTCTAGGTCAAAACAACTTTTGTTGTCCGTGACTTCAAAAGGTGTTTATTTTTTTTGGGACTGGTAGTTTGTTCTAAAGTTGAAGTGGTAGCAGCTGGATGCTTCTACTTCTCTGATATTATTGAGGAGAGAACCTCTCACACCAGTGGTGTTCTGTTGCTAAATACGTGAGTATGCAATTAATATAAGACCCAGGGAAGTGTGGAAGTTCAGCAAAACCACCAACCGGATGGTCCAATAGCTGCTTTTGGTCTGGAAAGTATTATTGGAGGAGGTTTTTAGACAAATGCGAGAGAACCACTTTATTAATTATTTTCGTTTATTTATTTATTTTTTCCTCTACAACAAATTTATAGCTATTATCTATTATGTCTATTACGTTAGAACGTTGTGAGGCATGACAAAAGTATTTTAAGTTGACGATGTGTACTTTTCCTGGTGATAGGGGACAGTACATACCTAAATCATTTCAAGCAAGCAGTATTTTTGTGTTGACCTTAGCAACGGATGGCCATTAGGGTCAAAAATCCCTGGCAGCGCAACCTCCATCAAAATGACAAGCACATCAGACTTCCTTTCATCACTGGCAACAAGTGAAGAGGTAAATGTGTAAAACAACGTCTATTAATGGCAAACATTTTGTAATCATGTGTTACAAATCAGTAAATGCATTTTATCCTCATTGGTTTTTATCGAAGGAAACATGGCATATAATATGGCATCACCTAGAGACTTAGACCCACTCCCATCTATTTTATACCTGATTTATATGGTTATCTGTTACAAAGCCACCATTATTTTTCAACACCTGGGCATCATCTGATTCCTTTTCAACAACATTTCCATGGATATTTCCAGATATTAATGGTAAAAACTACACATTGCCCCTTTAAGCTAAATTGTTTTCCAAATTTGCTATAACAGCTTTAAAGTAAACATACTAAAGAACTTATATTGTGTCTCTCAACAGCACTCTGTTTAAGCTGAGTAAAACATATCCCAAACTTCTTCTCACATGCCTCCGAGCGTACCCGCCTGTAGTACCTGCCTTTGAAGTTCCTGCCACACCAAACAAAATATCACAAGCTAAAACACAATCTGTCAACCAGCACAAAGGATGGAACCCAACAACATGAAGGGGAATCTAAAACAATAAAATACAGCTAAATCTGGCTCATAGCCAAAGAAGAAAAGAACTTCAAACACACTCTTAGTGGCGTGTCCTGCTTTTGTACGGCATGTCGTTGCTTGGAATTGGACCAAATCTCTGGGGGTATTTTTAAGCCCAAATCTTTAACACTTTAGAAGGTATGCTATTCAAACAGCTGCTCGGCTTAGCTGGCTCAGATGGGTATTGTTAAACCTTTATGCGTGACAACTACCTGTGTTTTTGAGTAATAGAAAGTATATTGGGCAGATTTAAGAAAAAAATGGGGTCTCCTTTCTGGAGTCACACGCAAATTAACACAGATCAATTTCACAAACTGTGTTTGATACACTCTAACAAAAGTAACATATAGAATAATTATTTTACAGATTAAAACAAATTACTTTAACAGTTTATTTTTAAAAAGAACCACAAATGACAATATAGTTTGGGAGCACTTTGTTTTTAGTGAGTGACAGGTTAATACACACACATAAACACACACCGCCCCAAGTCTGGCTTTGTTTTGGACATGCACTGAAGCGTGTATGCTTGAGTGTGGCAGCACGTGTGTGTGTGTGTGTGTGTGTGTGTGTGTGTGTGTGTGTGTGTGTGTGTGTGTGTGTGTGTGTGTGGAGGGGAAGCTTCTAGAAAGAGGCATGTAACCTGTTGCACTAAAACAACAGATAAACACAACCAGAACATTTTTCGAAAAGTATAAAAATCATTGCAGGCTTTTGCTTTTCTCCTGTCTGATTTCACCAGCAGGCAGATGAAGAAAAGATCAGCGCGTTGCTCCATCTGTAGTGGTCCTGAGCCGACTGTGAATTCTCCCAGTGCTCCAGATGGTGAGCCTGCCTCCTCGCAACTTTGCGTTGCAACAAATTCATGTCATGTGGATCAAGTTGATTCAAAGAATGAGCGTCTCTCTCTCTCTCTTTTATTTTTTCCAAGAAAACTTGGTGGTGGCTGTTTAACAAGTGCGTTTGATCATAAAGTTTTCCCGTTGTGTCCACATGCTACCAATTTTCTCCCCATCACCAACTGTAACACAAGTCTGTTAATACTTAATATGAAGAAAGATCAAAGTCATCTCTGGAGCAGAGGGAACAAAACGGGAAATGTTGTAATGACTAAAAGAAAAGTTGAAATGAAAGCCTGAGCCGGGTGACCTTTACAACAAAAAAACTATAAGAGCCCCCCCCCCCCCCCCCCCCCCCCCCATGTGGCTTTATAACAGGTGGATATCTGCCTATGTAACTTACTTATGACTGGATCATTACTTAAGGATTACTGCAATGCATTATAAAGCTTACCCAGCCATTGTTAGACTAGATCCTTAAGATGCGTCAGCTAACCAGATTAACTTCCACATAAAAACCTGTCAGCAGCAAAAGCACAAGCAGAATTTACATCGACACGTTTGGTCAAAAGCAACCATGCAAATTTAGCCCAACAGTTCCTACAAGACACAGACAAGTACTACCTCATTTCTGGTCACATAATTACGCATGCACTACCAAACAGAGACACGACAACAGGAAATGTTTTCAGAGTGACCAAAATCAGAGAAGTTCTTACAGTGAAGCTCAGAAATCACATTAGGCTCCCTATGGCGTCAAGAATGCCAAAGTGATTAAAAACAGATGGAATAACAGCAACACTGATGCTTGGAGCTCAATCTACAAACAGGAAAGTCTAACCTCAACAGGCAGACTCTTTCCCTTAATCATTCCCAGACTCCCACTTGTTATTATTTCAGCCCAATCTTGAAGCGAAAGGAACCAGCCAGTAAAAATAAATCCAACAGTCAAAGAAACGTTCTCCTTCATCCAAGGCGTGAGAGAAAAGGGGCTAAAATAGTTGCTCAGATGCAGCCTTGCAGGCTTGTTTATTTAACCAGAGCTACGCTGTGAAGTGGAATTAGTCCAAAATAAGTTTAAAGGACTTTTCTACACTCAAAACCACAGAATCTTAATTGCAACATCACTGATGTAATGGAAAGTCAGATGCATCCACACACAGTGAGGAATGGGGATTCAATCCAGAATAAATAAATTTAGCTGCTCTTAGTCATGGAAATAGATTGACAGTCAAACACTCATGTGCACACTCTT